TATTTGCACCCAGAATAGCATAAAGGACCAGGTAAATAATTTAATAGAAATTGTGTTCTATTAATGACCTTTTAGTTCGTAACCTCTGTAAAAGTGTGTTGTATGCAAGCTCTGTATGCCACCCACTGTTAGCTCAAAGAAATGTGAGAAGAAACAACTTTTTAAAACCAGTCAAGTGAAGTATTGGTGAATTGTCTAAAAAGGAAAGAAAGTCCCCTGTCATTCGATTTAAACTTTGTCTAAGCGAAGTGACGAAAACAGCATAATGGGAAACATCTTTAATTTAAGGAGCATATCAAACTTGCTCTAAACACAACCAGCGCCTTTTAAAAACTGTTTGTACATTTTCCTGGTAGTCAGAAGCATTTACATTTATGCAATTTTTTTAATAGATTTTTTTTTTTAAAGAAATTGTTTAAATGCCTGAAGTTTCAGGAGTGTATTACTTTAGGTTATTTACAGTATAATTTTTGTATAAAGTTCTGTTCTTTGAACCACAGCTTTATTATGGTACGCTACACTGGATACAGATACAAAGACACTGTTAAAAGAAGATTAACTAAACACAGCAGTTGTCTGGCATCAAGAGCTTTTCAAGTTTTACGGCCTGAATCTGGAGGGATAATGATCTGCTGTGCCTTTGCAGTCACTGCTTAGCCCAAAGTAATATTACTTTTGCTAATACTCAACACATGAATATTCCTGAAGTAATTCAGTCTCAAAAGTCTGGAATTTTGCTCCTCAATTACCTTTCTAATTTTTGGACATGCAGTTGTCTCCAAACTTGGGTATTCATGGGATTTCTAGTTAAACACCTACACTTTGATACTGAAGACTGCCAAATATGTAGGAATTTCCTTTCTTAAAGCAGTAGTGAAGACTGTATCTATCCTTTCCCAGCACTGAATGTTTTAATAGCACTGGGTGCTCACCATGAAGAAAATGTGGAAACTCAAAAGGTCAGGACAGACTCTAAGCACTTGCAACTGATGTTACTGACATCAATTTTAATGATTCTCAATATTTGCAGTTTTCAGAGAAGTTTTTAATATTTCTCTGTCCACTTTTATAAGCTTTAAAATGATTCTCCGCCTTGAGACTTGCATCAAGAAAAAAGCAACTCTCTTCACATCGAAAGCTTTGAAGACTAGGGACATGCTTTACACATTTTAGAAAATGTGGTTGAATCCACATTAAGTAGCATCAGTTGTTGAGTTTAAAAATCAATTATTGTTGCAATTTTCAAAGGAACATAATGTTTAATATTCAAACGATAACAGTTGCCAGAATGTTCTTTTTAATATAAAAGGAACAGGAACTTTGAAAAGTGAACATGCAGAACAGTCTTTTATCATTAGCTCATGTATTTGAGGAAGAGCAGCTGTCTTTTCTATGTTTTTTGACAAATCATATTGTAATTCTTTTGTACAAAAAAAGAAGTACTTGTATTCTAGAAGAAATATGGAATGCTTAATTTATAAGCGGGCTGAGGTTTTTTCCAGTATTGTTTTCTTTGAAAATGAAAGGGGATCATCTGTTCAGTTGTGGGGTTTGGGAACCTTTGAAAATTTAATTTGTGGACCAATATTTTGTGGAAGTGTAAGGCAGGGGTAAAATAGGGCTTGAATTCTCATCCTTTTTAGACCAGCACACCCTCTGCAAGACATGTCTAAATTGCAAACCTGTGTGTATTTGCATAATGTCAGTTTGCTTCAGCCCCTAGTAACCTCAGGACTTGGTTTAAAAATAAAAAGGTAGACAGCTAATAAGTTTTCATACATAATATCAGCCAGAAAATATTTGGTGTCAGGTAATACATAAAATTAAAAAGAAGTTGAGCTTTGTTTTCTATTTATTTTATTTGGTCTGTATTTGGGAATGATTTGAACAGTCTGAAGTTCAGCTTGGGTGTTTTTTTTTGGGGAGAGCCCTTCTACCCCATTTTAATTCCATTTAGAAGGTTGTCCTAAAGTTGTAGTTTGATCCATTCATAGGAAGAACTGTGTATCTGTATTTAAAAGAAGAGTCACCAGGATGTGCCCTCCCAGATGGGAAATTTATTTCTGACCTTCCTATTTTTTACAGCTAAAAGCACAGAAGGGACAACCTTTGAAATCATCTGATGTTGGTCATTTTAATTTTTGTACCTGTTTTAAATTTTGTTGCTGTATTTACTATATTGTAAATATTTTGTTGAGGGTACCTATATATTTTTGATTTGTCCTTGTTTCAGTAATTCGGGTGTCAACTGTTTCCCCTAAAAAGCACCAGTATGTTAAGTTCTAATGTCATGATCCCAATATGTGTTACTCATCTTTAATCCTGTTTTCATTGTTCATGTGTACAGCAGTATTTTTAATAAAGAATACCAGAAGTAACATGGCCTTATTTTGACATTGTGAAGCTCTGAGGTTGGATCCAGGGCATTTCAACTTTGGTGGTGGAATTTTATTTCATTTGTCTCATACTTCTTTTGTATTCATTCTGTCTGCAATGCAGAGTTTAAACAAACAGGAGTCACAAATTGTGTTTAGTGCTTGCCACTTAGAGTGTATCAGATGTCCTAAAACTGAGAGATGCTGTTCACTAGAAGTGTATTAATGCGTATTTCTGTAACTCCCAAGTCAAATCCCATCTGCTTCAGTTTCATCAGGTCTGCTTTCCTCAATAAGCCCTACTTTTGAAAACTCTGCTCAAGTACCCTTAGTTCCATGTTTTTTGAGCTTTTTTTGCTCAGTAACAAAGTGTGTTAATTTCTCTGAGAATTTGCACATGGAGTCACAATAACTTCATTACACAGAACTCTTTTTCTACATTTTTAACTAGCAAAGGTTTGATGATTTGCTGGTGGGATAAAGTCTCCTATATCCATCCAATGCTGACCATGGTTATAGAAGATGTAATTTTATGTAATATATTGTGAATTGTCAGTAGTCCTTGCACATATTTAACATGGAGTCATTATCACTGAGATTGCAGTGTTTTAGGAATGTTATTATATAAGCTACATTTTTTGATTGATGCACATATCCAGTCTCCAGTTTCCTCCTTAGTAATATGCAGCAACACAAGTCCTCCAGCAACTGATGATCCCATTCTGCTTTCCCAGAGAAAGCTTCATCTCCACTTTCAGCATTTGGAGAGCCCCTCAGATTGAATGCTGTTTAGCAGAGAGCACTTAATTGAACATCTCTGTGGAGGCAGCATCCTCAGCTTCAGATGGAGGGGGTGGGCATGTGGGAATTCTCTGAAGAAAACAGTCTCTCCGCAGGCCTAAGTTTCTGCCTACTGTCACAGTAGCCTCAGAACAGGCTTTGGTGAGGACACCTTAGCTCTGTTTGCTGTCCTTTTCTCTGGTGTGCATCTTCTAGCTGCTGAAGAAACCAGGAATGGTGGGTGGTTGGATGGATGTTTGTCTTCCCCCACCATGAAACCTTGCCTCTCCCAGAGGCTGAGTTGAATTTTTGTCTCTAGACAGCAGTAAGCTCTTCCTAAATATGCTGAACCTAGGGAATGTCACCCACACAGGGAGCGGTGGCAGGTGTCTGTCACTATAGCTGGGTTGATGTGTGGGAAATGTGCCTTCCTTCTGTGTGTTTATTCCATGTTCTCCTTTGCTCAGAAAATCAGCCTGTGGGATGGATGTGTACCAGATGTTTGTGCTGCCCACTGCTGACTTCTGTGCCACAGCAGTCTTTGACACTGGCAGAACTCTAATTTTTTTCAAAAGCAAACTTTATTATATGAATTTAGTAGTCAAACACATTATATAAAGACAGAAAATGCAAGACAAAATAGGAGTTCTTCACATCTGAAGACACTTGAGGGTTCATACAAAAGTAATCTTTTGTAGTCCAGTTTTCTTAAATATTTATGCATAAAAGCATATTTATATATTTACACTGTGCAAACACGTCTTTTGAGATGCATCATTCTGTAATTATTCTTGCTCAGTTCTAATAACAAAAGAGTACTGAAATTTTGTCTTGATCAAGGTCAAATATACTTTACTAACAAGAGACAGTGCAATAGATACTTAAAACTGATGATTTCTTGTGCAGAGATACTTAGCTCAGAAGTAGTGGTACATATTTATTTTGCTTGAATATCAAAGATCGTTTTTATTTATAAATACGCAAAAGGTCATTTGCTTTGAAGTCTGTTAGTGGGTTACATTCACAGCTCTTTAGCTGAATTCTGAGAGAGCAAGAGATCATATAACATGTAGCATTCAAGTTAATACATATTTTAGTGGACCACAAGAAGCTGACATTGGGCTGTAATTGAGTTGGCTGATATCAGTGCTACTGTGTTAAATGTCCAACTCTCATTTCAGTACTGCATTCATTTCAGTACAAGGTGAAAGGGAATGGGTGCATCCTAATGCTTCTCGAGCAAAGAACACTCATGACCTTTCTGAGATGCTATACAAAATCTGCTGTAAATGAATGATACATTTTTATTCCTGTACATACTGGTAACTTAACATGGAAATTTAGGTATCTTCATAAAAAAGCTGCCCTAACTTTACAGATTGCCTTGTAATTTCTAACTAATCTCTTCAAACTCTCTAGTGATCAACTAAAGTTTGTGCAGTCTAGTAGCCATCCTGTCTTTTCAGACAGATTCCCATATATAAAATATAATCAGTGCAATGTTAGAAGGTCCGTGAGGTTTTGTGGACAGAGCTTGACTTTAACCTATCTACCTTGTGGTTTGGTTCCAGTGTGTGTGTGTAGGCTTATGACAAAGTGCAAAACTTCAATATTTACTGAATTTCAACAGGAATGTCCAAACTGAATTGGTATGTATTCCCTGTTGTTACAGCCCTGGATCTGGTCTTAGTTCTCCTCTATCCTTGCCAATTGTGTTTAGCAGTGCATTTTAAATTCTTGCCTTGCAAGGCTTCCTACTGCGTCTGCCATCTGGAGCAGTAAGATCCATATAATGCCCCATCCCCAATTAGCTTATTCAGCTTCCCCAGAGCACCAGCCCTCCCACAAGTTTCTCAAAGTAGTTTTCATAAAAAATATAGTTTGTGGTCTTTCTAGTTTCTATCTTCTTGAAGGCTCCTTTATTTTCCAACACAACACACACCCCAGCCATGGGATGCGAATACCTCAGTGCCTGTGCAGATTCCTGGCTCTCTAGGGCTCCCAGCTGCCTCTCCCAGTCAGGACAGAAGTGAGTCTGAGCAGAGGCTGTAATAATGGCCTTCCAGGTTTTCCTGGATGCAGAAGCGCTCAGCATTTTTAGCGAAAGCTATTGGTGTTGAGCATTTGGGAAAGTCAAGGTTTAAGCAATAATATTTTGCTCTATTTTGAATACGTGTGCTGCAGTCTGTAGAAAAGCAGATCTCTGGGATTAAGCCAATGATAACTTCTCAAGTTTTATGATAATTGAAATAATTTGGATCAGAGTTTTTAAACTGACAGTGTTTCCCAAGAGCCTGCATGTTTACTTGGCCTAGAAGTACTTAAACCGGTGGCTGAGAATAATGGACAACAGAGTTGTAGTCAGGAGGAGGAGAGCGGCTGGCAATCATTTTCTCCAGCATCGCATAACCACAGGTGTGTCTTCGCTTGGAGTCACTGAGCTGGTCACAGCTGAAACTGCAGAAGCTTCTTGGCTTGGTTACTCCAGAAAGCACTGACTCCTTGCTCCTGCTGGCACCTTTAATGCTGTAATAGAGCAGTGTCATTGTGAGCTTTCTTACCATGAAAGGATTTTTGGTTTAGTGACTTGAGCAAAGCTAGGTCACAAGTTAATTCTTACATGGTGGGAGGGGCACTGATGCAGATGGACTTGCTCAGAGGGAGTGCAGAACAGAGGAGTGAAGGAGCCCTCCTGTGTTCCCTGTGAACAGAGGTGCTGGGAGTGAGCATCACTGTTAAAAGTGTTTGTGCATTCTATCAGTCTTGCTGCTTGGGGGGAGTACTGGACTGCTCAGCCTAAGTTCAAATTGCTCATTTGTGGCAGGTGCTGGGGAGTGAGACTTTATTGCAGGGTCACATAGTGGGGAGTATCTGGCAGCTCTGCTGTGGTGAGGCAGTGTATCTCCATACCTAAATGTTTCTTCCTAAGGAAACGGGTTTTTGAGCAGGACTGAAGTGGTGGAAGGTCTCAAACCTTGAGGCAAAAGTAGAAAACTACTAGTGTAGGTGTTCCCAAAGCCTAATGCTGGGATAAATTTCTAATACAAATGGCTGATGTTTGTGAGGAAGGGCATGAGGTCTGGCTATCTGCTCTTTTTTGGCTTCTTTTGGCAGCTGCCATGAACTGCTGGTTTGAATTGGAATTTTCCTGTCCCTTAAAAGGACTAGTTATCCTGTAGGCTGCCATTTATAAGATGCCCTTTACTAAGAGGGGTTTAATGTCTTCTGGGCGAAGCCACTTTTAGAGGCACTGTTGGCCTTTTGGCACTTTCTCACCCATATTCAGAGATTGCAGTGCTTAAAAGGGCTCTTTCAGTAATGAAAATCAGGGCAAAGAGAATTTTTACACCATTGAACTTGAATACCAAAGATTTATCTGTAGACAAAGGACAAGCCAGAGCAGTTTTCCATCACTGTTTACATGTGAAATCCTAAAGTAAACATGTTGGACCACAGTGTCTAAAATTATATTTCCTCCCTGTATTTTTATAAGTTCATGGACAATCCTCTTCATTTATAAGGTCAGAAACGTTGGCAGCCCTAGTCTTGAATTCCAAATAAGACATTCAGAGAACATCTGTTGAGGCTTGCAGAGCCCAGGGTTTTGCTTTTCATTTTATTTTGCATTGTTAGGTCTTTAAGTTAACTACAGAACTAGTGGCACAGGACCGTTACAAGTTCCTCTTAGAGGTCACAGTTTCTCAAATTCTTAACTCAGAAGCCTGTGTGGTTTTTTAAGGAGGGTGGTCTCTGTCTCTTCTTCTTACTGTAGGAAATTGGAAGGTCTCCCTAAGAAGACCACCCCATTGCATTTATTAGTAGATGAATGGAGCTCCTGAGGAAGAGCCCTTGTGATGAGGATTGCAGATGCATCCCATATTTTTATATTGCATCTGTTGGCAGATGGAGAAGTACTTGCCTTGGGATAAATTCCATAACTATGACAAGGTTAGTCACAGATGCAATGGACTTCTTGTGATGGGTTTAAAGAGAAATGCCTCTGTGATTTACATTGTAATTGTGAGTCTTCAGGCAAGAGTGGAGTGTGCATGACAAGTTGTGAGTCTTAAAAACTGTCATGCTTTGATCCTTTCATCATCATCAGGCTTTTGCATCCTGAGATTTTTCTTGTGAGCTAGACTTGGCTTCTGCTTTAATAGACCTTTGTACCAGTAGAGCTGCATCTATTAATTTTGTCTGGAGTGCACTGCTGTACCTGGGCATGCATTCCCACAAAAAACTTTGAGGGAGCTCAAGGGGTTTTGGCATCTGTAGTCAGGCTTCATTTTGAGTCTGAGTTTACAGTCAATAAAGGCTTCTGTAGCTGTGGACTATCTTCTTGCCAATCTAGGAATGTAAATTGGAAACTGTATTTAGTTGGTCTTTAATTGGGATTGTTTGTTGGAGGAAATGGCCGCTGGTTTCTTGCCATGTTCAGGACCAGAGTGAGGTTAGAGGCTGGCTGCAGCTCTTGAAATGCTTGTTCCAGCTCACAGGACGTGGAATTCTTGCTGTTTTTCTGGCTTTGTAATTTACACTGACTCAAGGGTTTGCCTCAGCCCAAGGATTTTGGCTTACTTGTGTTGGGCTTTTTCACCACTACTGAAAAGCTAGAAGAGGGTTGCACGCAGGATCCTTTCTTCCTGCAAAGGAGCACAGCTCAGAAAACTGCCCCCAAACCTTTCTACCGGGCTCTTTTGCCTAAGGCCTTATATTAGCAAAAACTCACTTCTCTTCCTGCTCCTCAGAATATAATTTTTCATCTCAGTGGCATTAGCAAGTCCAATACACGTTCCAACCATTTCTGTTTCTTGCTCCTGGCCACCACCTGGGCCTAAGGAGCTCACCAGGGTTTAGGCTGATGCTCTTTCCTATAGCGAAACCAAGGGTGAGCTGTGGCATTAGTGCCTTTCCCTAGGCAGGAGAAATGGAAGCCCAAGAGGAGGCGCCTCACCAGGGTCAGTGGGGTACCCCTGCACTGTCAGGTTGGCTCCCTGCTCTGTTCTGCCTTTGGCCTGGCAAGCACTGCTGCACATGCTGGCTCTCTACTGCACTCAGTTCCCTCTGAAACAAACCCTGGGAGTGCTTCTGGAAACAGGCAGGGTGCTCTGGGTTTGGCTCCTACCCACCCTATGCTGTTCTTCAGCTCTGCCCAGTCTGACTCTTCTAAGGCTTTGTTGCAGCGAAGGGACGTAACCATAGGCAAGCTGCTGCCAGGGGAAGGTGAAACCCTTCCTCAGCCTGGTGCTGGCACCAGCTGCCCTGACAGTGAGCTGCTACTGCTCACTCAGAAACTGTTCTGACAATCTGGCAACCTGAATCAGCTCCCTGCAAGAAAAGCCAAGCTGAAATGTCAGGATGCCTGCGATGCAAGGGAAGAAGCATGAATGTACATCTGCTTAGATCAGTTTCCATGTCTCAAACCCCTTCAGGCTCCACCTTGCTCAGTACAAATTTTAGGAGTATTTAGTTACTGTTCCAATTAATTTTAAGTAAAGGATGCTTAGCTAAGATACTACCACTTTTAGGAATGTGTGCAGACTGAAGGGTCACTGCCTGCTTTCACATCCATGAGTGCTTTTTGGCACAGTGCTACACTACAGTACCACTTGTTTAGCTTGCAGACCAGATGACCTTGTATGATCTCACTCTACCACTCTGTTTTCCCAAGGATTTACATTCTAGCAGCCACTGTTCAGTTCAATTCTTTTTTCTTATGCAAGTATTCTTTTTTCTTCTGTATTTGAAGCTGCCCCTTAAAGCACTTCCAGGGGGATGCTTGGGGCACAATCTATGCAAAGAAAAAGGCTTTTCATAAATTTCATTTAGGGAGGTTGCCATGTTGTCTGTGTGGCTACAGCAGCCTTCAGAAATACACGGAGAAGAAATGAGTTAAACCACATCTAGAGAACGTTGCATCCTTTGGAACCCTGTAATATCCACATACACTCTATAGTCCCTGGCTCCTCCAAAGACAGCATGCCACAACAGAGCTGAAGTACCATAAAACTGCTCAGGAGCCTATTTTCTGAAAGGTCAAGGCAGGAGAAAGGGTTTCCCAGCATTTGTTCGGAGTGGCTTTGCCATGCATGAGCAGCTTTGCCACTGCAGGCTGCTGCCAGCAGCGCGTTTATCCAGGCCGTGCTTTCCAGCCCCGTGAGCACGCGCTCTCCCACACGTATTTCTGTCCTACACGCATTTCAACCAACGCCCTCTAGGTCACTGGAATTTGTCATGGAGCGAGGCCTCTCTGCCTTGACTGCACGTTTCAGGCAGCTCTGATTGTTCTTTGAGACAATGCTACACCTCCCAGGCTGCCCAACTGCAAAGCACTGACAAGTTTGGCGCTGGCAGGATGGCAGGCTGGCCTTGACCTCCTGCCAGCGTGAGATGAACGATGGGTTGGGTCTGGGCAGTCTCCGGGCTGGCTGAGAGCAGTGAGCTGAAAGCAGGACACTGCCAGCTTTGCAGCGGCTGGGAGCTGATACAGCGCCGGCGCTGAGAAAATAAACACTTCCCATTTACAGAGAGTTCATGTCAGTGCAACCCATTTCTTAGAGCAGCCCTAGTTCCCTGCTTGGGCAGCTGTCAGGAATTAGGTGGAGGAAGATGGCCAATATATTCAAGTGCTTAAAGGCAGGAAGAGAAGTGAGGCCCTCACATCCATCTATTGTAAAGTTGCCACTTTAGCATCCTGAGCCCATGGGTGTTAAATGGGCCGTGCTTAGCTGAGTCATGGAAAAGAAGGGCAAAAACAAGCACAGGGGGCCTTGTCCCAGCTGGGGTGCCCTTGGGACTTGCAGAAACAACTGCAAATCCTTCACAGCCACACATTCCTCCTCCCCTATTATTAATGGCTTGTTTCCCACAGTTACCTGCCTCCTACCTCAGTCCAGTGCTCTCTGACACTGGCATTAAATTGAGCATTAGGTGGATCAATAAGTGCTAATAAATTGTATTGCTGATGTGCATCGAAGGCATTGAGGGTTATTTGCTTCTTCAAAGACATAGGTGTGGAAGATGATTGACTGCTGATTAAACCAACCCTGGGCTCAGCAAGAGTGTTTGCAGGGACTGGAGCCACCTCAGCTACTTTAGGCATTATTTAGCACAAGGACCTTGAATTCTCCTTTGCCATCTAAAACCTGAGAAGAAGGGAATGTAAAATACAGACCCAAAGAGTGTCCGTTTCTGCTTGCTGCCTGTCCATGTGAAGCGTTTCAATTCCTCTGGAGCCAGCACCATCCCACTGTCTGCTTGATAATCCTTGAAGAAAAAAGAGAGATGCAGTCCTGTGAGGTGTTAACTGTATTTTACAAAGGACTCAGTTCCTCTTTGGTCTGATTTCCAGCATCCTTCTGGTCATTGATACTGAGGCAGCTCTAGCAGACAGCAGCTCTGTGCACAGAGGTATTTAATGGTGCCTTTCCAAACCACCTGTGCCTTGGGGTGCAGCAGACAGGTAATGTTAATGCAAATCCAGGGTGCTGGAAGAAAAGTGTCTACATGCAGTCTGAGGCTCTGGCCAGCCACCTGTTTAACCCTGTGAGGACCACTGTGCCTTTCCCATCTCCTGCTGCTTAAAGCCCTCTACTGAGTCACTAAAAGCTTGCCCCAGCCTCTCATCCATGCCTGTCCCTACCAGGATTGGGTGTGTGTCCCACTGTTAGACATGGCTCCAGCTTGTCCATCTGCTAACAGGTCTTGTTCCTACCAACCTTGCACACCTACTGGAACTGACCACTTCATGTCAGGGGAGGAGTGTTTGCAGCCCATGGCATGGCCAGAAAGGATCTCTGACCCTAATTTGTAGGGAAGTGGGATAACCTCTTGTTGCAAGTACAGCTAATCAGCTAACCTTGTATCAGTTATAGCTGACAAAGCAGTAACCCCCCTCATCCTGATTATCCCTGTATAAATCTGTCACATAAATAACAAGAAATACCTGGCATATCATTTGGCCCAGGAGTCACTTACATTAAATACAAGCGTTTCCTTCATGGGAAGCTCTTCAAATGTCTTTATGCGCTGGGGGGGGTTTATTTTGAAAGTGTTTATGTATCTGTTCAACAAGAGAAGGAGGACAATTTTTGGTGAGTATGAAGTGCACAAGCAGGAAGTGTTGGGTATTTATCTGTTTCTTTGGGCAGCTCCCAGCTATCTTCGAGGTAGGTACTGCAAAAGGGGCTTGTTAACCAGACCCCACCCAAATCTCACTCCCCAGTCCTGGGGTATGCACAGCCGTGCCTCTCACAGTGCCTGAGCCCTGTGACCTGGGCAGGGGCACTCTAAAGAGCCACAGCAGTGGGAGACTCAGCAACTGGCCACCTGTGGGCTGTCTCTGAGTGTTTTCTCCCACCCAGATCCAAACTGGGCTATGCACCGAGCTGTCACCCCAACGAACACACAGAGTCTTATTCTTGCTTATCTCACCTGACATTTTCGGTGCTTCCACAGCTTGAGCTTGTAACAGGAAAATTTTCATTGCACAAAGCATCAGATGCAGGGGGAGACCCATTTTCTGTTGTAAATATTGTGCTGAGGGGTATGTAGTCTTTACCTTCCTAAATGTAAACAAGAAATACAAGCCTTATTCCTTGGTCCACGTGGCCAGTTGCCCTTGCCTCGGTGACAGCATGCGGTTGTGACATTAATACCTGCTGGACATTTGCTTGCAGCAGGTCACCCAGCTTTTTCACCAGCTCGGAGAACCGTGGCCTGTCGTTGGGATTGCTCTGCCAGCAGTCCAGCATGATTTGGTAACTGTGAGGACAACAGCAAAGTGAGCACAGGGTGGGGTTACAGCTCCATTTAATGCAAGGCAGCACAGCAGTCTTTGACATCTTGTCATCAGTAGACAGACATAGGGGGGTAATTCCTCAACCTGCTTGGTTTTACAAAGATTCTCTCTAACACCATTGAGGCCTCTTCCTAAAAGTAAAGCACTAAACTTCCCACAAAAACAGAAAACCTTCATGCGACACCCCAGAAGACCACATCAAAAGGATAATTCAGCCAACCAGTCATACTTCCTTTTTTTCATTCCTAATTAAGCATTAAACCTTTGTATTAAACATCTATTAACTGGCAATGTTTAGGTTAAAGTATCCTAAAGGCATCCTAAGATGACTTATATGGATGTGTCACTTCCTTGTATTGGTAGAGCTGAGCTTTCCTTCCTGCAATAAAATATGTGGAAGAGACAAAAAAAAAAGCTCTTATCTACTGTCACTAGGATAATAAAATTAGTCAATGAGCAATACTCCCAGATAGGCATGGCTAGCTTGCATCCTTTTCTTCTGCTAGAACTATTTTTTGGTAAGTGTTGCTATTTAGAGTCATGACATAGCACTTGGGAAGGCACCAGGACACCCACACGTACTCGATTTTGCCTCCAGAGATAAAATACCCTGGACATGTTCATGGTCCTCAATGATTTATGTCACAGGGTGAATGTTCAATGTGCTGCATGGCCTCCCAGGCAAGGTGCTCTCTCCTGACCCACCTTGGTCTCCAAAAAGGCGTTGGCCATGCAGTAGCAGCTTGAGGCTGCACCTGAAGACAGGGGAGAAGGGAGTGACGGCTGACATGGCAGTGAGGACTCAGACAACCTGGGCGGGGCAGCTGCGGGTCCCCGTCACCTTCCTCTGCCATCAGACACCGTGTACAGGAAAGGGTGGACCCTCCTTACCCGAGTGACTGCAAGGAAGCCTCCACTGTCACATCCTAAGTCAAGATGATGTTAATGTCACATTCCTCCAGCACTTATCTCTGTGCATGTTGGTAAATATTAAACCTAGCAAGGAATGACCTTCCTCCTTCTCCTCCCCCTTCTCCTCCTCCTCCTTGCTCTGCTTCCTGTTGCCCCCTACCCTCTGGGAGAGCCAGGGATGGGGGGTGTACAAGATGATACCGATGGAGGATTGGGTTGTTTTTCCTTAGGCTGGCACAGGGTACTTTTAGAGGCTGAAACATCATCTGCAGGGCAGCCCAGGAGGGCAGTGGTACCCAAGGCAAGCAAAGGCATCTTACATCTCCTCGGTCGCTTGCTCTGGGGCTCGCATTCTTGTGCCTTCCTTCAGCCTGCTGCAGAAATCCTCGTCTATTTGGACTCCAGGGTAAGGAGAGGCACCTGGAAGTGACATTGGGAGAATAGATACATGCCTTGAGTACCTGTGACCTCACTGTGGCCCTATGGATCTCCCTCAAACTCTCCCTAGGGGTGTGCATCATCAGGTTGCAGAGCTGGGGGTCAGGGAGTGTCCCCACTACAGGGTCTGGCCCTGCTGGCTGCCTCAGGCAGGGAATTACTGCTGGTTGTGCTCCAAGCCCCAGTCTTTGGAGGAGGGGGCAAGATCAAGACCACAACTATTGGTGGTGCTTTCCTAGCCTGAATAGAAAAAATGCACATTAATTTAATTCTAACACTATCCCTTGAAAAGCCAAGTCTGATCTTTCTATTGGTTTGGACTACTCCAAAGTCTAGTGAGGACAATATTAACAAACCCCAAATGCCCCAAATCACCTTGAAAAAATTGAAATAATTGTTTTAAATGAGGTCACAGTACATTTGCATTGTTTTTCTATTTTCTGTGTTTCTCAGATGCAGCCTGATTGTATTGTTGGTAGTTTTTTTCTGTAGACAAAAAAATTCAGGAAAAGGGAAAACGAAAGGAAAAAAAAAAGGGACCTTTCATAGAGTCAGAGAGTCACCAGGTTCAAGGAGCTGGGGCTTTAAGAAAAAAATAGCAGGTATTATGAGGCTGACCATAAAATCACAAGAGTTGGCAGGCTGACCAACAACATGTATTTAAACTAATAAATGATTGATTGTCCTGAGAATTGTATAGTATTGTTTCCTCTGCTGTTCGCCTCTTTTGTCAGCCTCTGTGTTGAACTCAATTAAGATTCTTCTATTCTGACAGTCATTGTTGTTCCCACTCAGTGTACATCTTGTATCCTGCCTTTTCCACATGAAGGAAAGGAGAAAAAAAAAGGCTTCACTGGGTTTTATTTTCAGATTGCATGCTCTAGTTCATTGTGCAGAATCAGTGCAGATGCTTTTCGCCTGCTGTGTCCAGTAGCCTGGGTGAGGGGGGTGCTGGATCCCTCCTGGGCTGGGGGGACCTCCTGGACTTGGGCTGGAAATGGGGGTGACAAGATCTGAGACATTCAAACTGTGGGTTTGGCTCCCTTGCTCCCACAAGAGGAATAAGAAGCATTTGAGGGAGCACTCAGCTCATGGCACTTGGTGTCTTGCATGCTGTCTGTGGCACAGGAGGTGATGCCTTGGTCTTGGGCAGCTGGTGACCCAGAATCACAGCTCTGTGTTATCCTACAGGGTTCTACATTCGATTAAAATGCTTTAAAAATTGCCTGATTTTCCTGCTAGTGCCATCAGTCACACAAAGCACTGAGACTGCTCTGGCTGTGCTGCCCTGCATCCTCTGCCAAGGCTTTCTACAGGGAAAAGTGGGAAGCTTAGTGCCAGCTTTTGCCCATGCCAGAAGTAGCTGGTAAAGTTCTCAGACAGCTGTGCTATCCTTTGAGGCTTTCAGCTTGGCAAATGAACTTTCAGTGCTCTTAAAAGCACCAAAATTTCTAGTTCACAGGGGCACGATAATCCCTCGGCTTCTGATTTAGGTCTTTTTGGAACACCTGCCAAAAGATCATTGAAGGTAAAGGATGTTTTCCCCAAGCTGGAGTCCCCACTCCTTTCAAGCTCCTGGGGCACAGAGTTAACATACCCAAGGAAAATATCTCCCACAGCAAGACCCCAAAGGACCACACGTCGCTTTTTGTATTGTAGATTTTATCAAATATGGATTCAGGAGCCATCCACTTGAGAGGAAGTCGAGCCTGGAGTAAAAGGGACAAATCTGACTATTATTTTCAAAGCCTGAAAGATTTTAATCATAGATGAATCAACTATATATTGTTATGTAAATAATTACCATTCAGGCAGGAACCTGTGGGATTTCCTTACAGGCAGTCAAGATAAACCCACACTCATTCATACGCTTAACAAATTGTTGGAGTAAAAGGCTGTTTTTAAAAAATGTGTGGCACAAAACACCAGACATTGGAAACCTGTGACCAGGCCTTTTCTTTACAGGGATGTGGGAGTGTGTAGGAGCAGAGGTCTCTTGCCAGCATCATAGAGACAGGGCAGAAAGCCCTGCATCCAAGCACCAACCATTCTGTAACGACGCTGGAGATATTTGGGGGGAAATTTTCAGAGCCAGAATTGCAGGAGCACATCAGCACAGCTTGTTAGGGTCTCCTGAGCAGTACCAAAGCTGTGTGAACATTTCCCAGCTACTTAGCAATGCTGTAAACCCTGGAAGTTATTTCCAGATGTGGGAGTGGCTGGCAGATGGGTGAGACCTCCAGAAAGAGACTCTCTGCATGACTGCAATGCCCACACCAAATTCCCAAGGCATGGGTGGGTGCCAGCACAGTTTGCTGGCCCAGCCCTTCACAGCAGGGGCTGGCAGGGCAGTCACTGCCTGCTCTCTACAGTGAGGGCAAAAAATAAGTAGGTGCTGGAGGAACAAGTCCTGCTCAGCTGCTCAGGGCACCAGGAGCACTGAGGGGTACACACCTTCTTTTGGAGGGACTGTTTTCCTTGGAGGAAGTTTGCGAAGTAAGGGGGTTATGGTGAGCCAGCCAAGAAATGTCTAAAAAACCAAAGTATTAACAGGGCAAAGCTGTGAAGCAGTTAGCATGTCTAAGCCTTATGCCTGAGGATTGAAATGCTTCCCAGACCCACAACACATCTGGACAGCTCATCTTCACACAAAAACCAACAGCTTTTGAGCTCTTAAATTCGGGGAATGTGAACATCTACAGAGCGTTTTGGTAGACAGTTTGAAATGACATGTTATAAACATTTGGGTAAATAAACAGCATCTTGACTTACATCTCCTTTTCTCACATAATCAGGATTCTTATAAATATCTCTTGCAAGGCCAAAATCACAGATCTTCACAACATTGTTCTCAGATAAAAGGATGTTTCTGGCTGCCAGGTCACGATGAATGCACTATAATAAAACAGTTTCACAATCAAACTGCATTTCCTTATTCCTGCCCACAGATTTCCTGTCTCTCATATCCTATTATTATTATTATTATTATTATTATTATTATTATTATTATTATTATTATTATATTTAATTTTTTAGGGAAGTGGCCTGTAGTTTACATGAAATTACTGTAAACAGCAGTATTTTTTTTTTTAATTATTAAGTCCAGAAAGTGACAAATTTGTAAGCCCTTTGACATTTGCAGGGAAAGGGCTGAATCATTGGGAGCGCCCTAATATATGTTGAAATTAGGAAAAAACCTACCACACCCAAAAGATCTTCCCCAAATGAATGAGCTTGACCCACTGCCTTCAGTCATGATCCTGTGTTTATGGACTATGGATGCTTGAATAAACACAGTTATATTTATAATGCCAAGAGGAAAACAGCTCTTCCTTTGGGACCTCTCCCAAGGAAGGTATCACTACAATGTAGACATGATTTCACCTCTGAATCCTGTCCTTCTGCAGTGAAAAACCCTCAGTGCAAAACTCACCTTTCTGGAGGAGAGGAACTCCATGCCTCTGGCCACCTGAAAGCTGTAAGAGATCAGGTCCTCCATAGTGAGGGGCAACTTGTACAGGTCATCGGCATCTGCAGAGGTGGCAAGCAGGGTTTGTTACAAAGAGAGCTCACAGGCTCTCTTTCCCCCTTTTCTTACAGAACCCATTATTCCCATAAATTCAGTCTTTTTGGAGGGGTATTTGAAGGTCAACACACTGTCATTGGAAACAAAAATAGTGCTTGCTGTACACCCCATGCTTTGGACACTGCTGTGTTTTCCCCAAAGATAAGGAGCAGTCAGAACAAACAATCACACATTTTCCTGTCAGATTTTGTAACCCTGGAAATAATCTTTTTTTAAATCTTTTACCCTCTGGACATGACCCTCTGAGCATCTCCCACGGATGTTTATTAGGGTGATAAATGAGGAAAAAAATTTCAGGGATTCACAGTATGTTGTAAAAATATCACAGTCTGCGTAGGGACAGGAAGGAATTAATACCTACCCTCCTCGTCCTCCTCCACATCAGTCAGACTTTTATCTTCCTGGAACCCAGAGCTGGCCAAGCTCTCCCTGCTGGTGACACTGGCCAGCCTTTGTTTTTTGCTTTCCACTGGTTCAATATCCTTTTTGTCTTTCATTGGCTCTCCCTGCAGAGAGGAGTCCTTCAAACAAAAGGAGGAGAAGAGACGCTACATCAGAGCAATGGAAACCAAGGCAGATTGTTGATGCCTTTCTGCCAGGCTGGTGGTCTGTGTCATGGGTGGTCACATCTCTCATGGGTGGGGGTGTCCAGTGCCACTGTGGTGGGCAGGGGCTGGTGGCAGAGCTGTGCTCCACCAAGGCCATCGTCCCCAGAGGGCAGAAATTTGGTGTCTTGGGAGCACCAGCACATGGTTTTAGGGTAACAAGGGCAATGGGCTATCTCTGCCACAGTGAGGATTTGCAGGATGTATGGATGGACCTGAATGCTGGGCTGTGCCTCATCTCAGCCTGGAATGAGGCATCTGCAAGGGCCCATTTCTCTCCAGCAGACAGAGAAGGAGCACAGAGTGGATTGGGAAGGTTGTGCTCACAATGGAGGTATCCCAGACCTCTCAAACATCAGCTTTTGGTCCCAACCTGCTTAAGACATCTGTCTCTATGTCCCTGCACAGGGTTTGGTGTGGGCTTGTAAGCCCTTTCCATGAGGAGCAAAGGCACTTGGTGTTTGAAACAGAGCTGCTGTTGGAAGTGACTGCCTCTCTTCAATGCCTTAATCCAATGCTTTCTTCCTTTGGCCAATCTTGTGATGGTTTAATGGGACATATGTTTGGAAGAAGCTCTCTCACTGCTACCTGTGGAGCAGCCTGGCTGCCTGCCTTACTCTTGCCCCCTCTTACTTTTCCTCTTATCTTGCAACCATCTCTGTTCCCTGTGCTGCTGGTGCAGAGCCAAATTTCCACCTCCTTCCTGCCCAGGCAACCTTCCCAAGGGTGCTGGAGCACTGGGTGTGGGAAGGGGGTATGGGAATGACTCCACTCAGCATAGACCCTGCCCAGCCATGCTCCCTGCTGAGCATCCCACTCCAAGAGCCTCGTGTAGGAGGAGCCGGTTGCTGTGTCTCGTGTGGAGTGCAGCACGGACAGCCTTGGGAACAGAGGCTCAGCAAAGGCCTTTCAGAGGGGCATGTCCTCTCCAGTAGGCTCTCCCACAGAGCCCTCCCAAAAAAAATCCCTGAGATGCCAATGAGCTTTTGGCACAGCTGAGCAGAGGTTTGGAGACCCGCTGTTCTGTATCCAGGCTAAGTCTCATGTTAGAGCCCTGGATCATTTGGAGGATTTTTTCTGGAACTATTTGAATTTTCTGGGACATTTGGATTTAGGTTTGTAATAAGAAACATATAATGAATTTGATTCAGAAGGATGTGGGATGTGAGGACAAGACTCTAATCTCTTTTCCTCTTGATAGCTCTTCTCCTCACACAATAATAAGATTACTTGTAAATCTCTGAATATTAGGGTGTCCTGGGACATGAGATTTCATTGGTATTATCTTGTTTGTGCTCCCAGCAGTACTGAAATAAGTGGGCAAAACCACTTCCTTTGGCTTTGCTGACCTCAAGCTCACCAGGAATGGGTTCATCAAAAGCAGGACAAGAGCGTATGGGGACACTTTGGATAGGATCCACTTCCCCTTGCTGTAGATGACTCCAGCCAAATTAGTCACAGCAGTCTCCTTGCACAGTCAGGGAGGGAGAGGTGAATCCTTTCTTGGCACAACACATCCCACACCAAATATTAATACAGGTCAGGTGAACCCAAAAGTCATTTCTCTGCTTTGGTAGAAGACAGTCTGAGGAGACCAGCTCAGAGAGCTGACCCCCTCATCACCAGCACTTACGTCAGGTAAGATGAACCCTACCAGGACCATCTGCCTCCTCACCTTGTTAGGGCAGAAAAGATTCCTTTTGCTCTTCAGGTAGTTTGATAAATTCCCATACTTGCAGTATTCAACAATCACCATCAGAGGCCCTGGGCAATTAAATTAAAAGAATAAAACAGCAAACATTTTGAGCAGCATAAAGCAATAAAAGGTATAAAGCATCAGTTCTGAGAAAGAATCTTTCATGCTCTAACTACAACTTGAGTCCAGAATAACTGGCAAGACATCCTAAGAGCTAGACGGCTGCCTGAAGAACACTGGACATAATCAAAACAATACTGCTTCTGGAAATTAGGGCAGGGCCTAATTTTGGAAAGCGGGGTCTTGAGTCTGGGTCCTGAGGGATGCTCTGTTTCCTCTTCGGGCAGTTCAGACTGGAGTCCCACAGTCCAAACACACTTGATGAACTAAAATAGGTGACATATCTAAAACAAACAAACTCCCATACTGGTCTTTTGATTTTCTTGGTGTGGTATCATGGAGGATTTTACAACAGCTGCATTGTGATTCATAGTTCAGGGCCAGCAGCTGATACCCCTTGTTCCCAGCCTCTCCAGATCATGTTTAACTTGAGCTTGAGCAGTGGAGTGAGTGAGACAGCAAGTGGCATACTCCTAAATTCACACTTCACATATTAATACTAAAAGAGAGTTTAAAGAGAGGAAATGCTTAATCACTTCATTAAGACACCAAAAATCTCTTTTTCTTTTCCTCTTTTTTTCACCAGCTACAGGATGAGCTTGAATATAAGTTACTAACTTGACCTCTGGATGAAAAACAACGTGGGTCACTGGCTGTTATTGGGAGATAATCCAAACCCATTTTCTGAGCAGTGCAGATTTTTTTACCTCCATTTTTTGTGCAAGCTCCCAACAAATTCACAATGTTGAGATGATGACCAATGTGGATTAGGATTTTCAGCTCTGTCATCAGTGCTTTGTACTCACTTGCTGTGGCCCCTTCTGTAAATACAAAATAAAAAGTCAATGTGAAAAGACAAAGTACTGGTCCTGTTGAGCTTTACCACTTCTCATTGCTTTCCATTGAAATAATCTCTGTTAGTGGATGTACTTCTTGTATTGATGTCCTGTTTCTATTCCTCGCTGCTCAGCATCCTCTTGGTTGCAATTAAACCCATAAAGAGAGTCAGGCACTCAACTTCCTCCCAGTAGACTCTATCCTATTTAGAACTGGGAGAATTTTTTTTTACATGAATAGTTCTGATGTTTCAGCCAAAAAATTGAAAGAAAAAATAAAAAGGGATTTCAATACGATAATTAAGTCTATCTAGAATTGGCTTCATCTGATCTGACTTCAGCTATCTAAGGGTTATATGCTAGCCTGAACTAATCAGTGTTTTAAGGGGCCAGTGTCAAGAGCAAAGTATTTCAGAAGCTGATGTAGCCATTGAGTTTAGCCATCTGTATAAGGGAAAGATAAACTACCCCTGGGTAATGCCTGCCTGGTTCTGTTCATAATGTAGGAAGCCTGGAGATAGACCAGGGAAGTAAATATTAACTGGTTGAAGTGAAGTGACTGCATCTCACCCTTACCAGTCATGGTCAATAATAATAGGAATGATGTAAGTCCCTCAAATAGATCCAAAACATTCTATTTAGTGTTGAGTGAAACTTCTCATTCCCTCTGAGCAATTTTTTTTTTTTCCTGCAGGATTTGATTTTGTTAAGAAAACAAGAAAATTCAATATTGCTTTGTGTAGGCCCAAAAGGAATATTTCAGCTTAGTGACACCAAGAGCAAGAAGAACAGTCCTGTGGAAAAAACCCTTGAGCTGGGTCTTAAAGGGCTTGGTTTCAACATCTGAATGGAAGCAGTTTTTCTTGGTGTCCCAGACAAAACTTGTCTTCTACTTGGTGATCCGCTATTTGCTTGTATGGGTGGTGACACCTCTCCTCCACCACATGGGAATTCTGTGAGGATGAGGCCTAATGAATGACTGCAGAGTTCCTGGATAATCTAGTGAGGACACAAGGAATGAGGCAGAGCTCCCTGTGCTTCTGGGTGAGATACCTAGAGAGGATCTGGTCACTACTGGCTCTCTTCATTGTCAGCAGAGCTGAGCAAGGACTCAGTTCCCTTTATGCAGGAGGAATCTCCATTCCATCCTAAGGAATCTGCCTTAGGATGAGATGAACTGTTGTCTCTCACCACTGCCAATGAAGGGCATTTGAGTGACTAACTCAGATACAAGCCTCTGCTCTGCACATGCATGTGTGAATCCCACCAGGAAAACTTCTTGTAGCTGCCTTCTGCTCCCATCTGTTCCAGGAGCACCCACTGCTCCTTGGTGGTGCTGGCTGGCACAAGAAACCTGCTGATGTGCACAGAGAACCCCTGAACCCAGCAGTCCACTCCAAGGGCTGGAATTTACATGTAGACATCTCCTGATAAACGACAAGTAGGCATGTGTGAAGCTGGGAGCCACTGGCTAAGATGGATTCATTCAAACTATTGCCAAACACAGTCAAGGGAGAGTGTTGGGGTTCCAAGCCATACTGGCAAAATAGGGGATGTGTCCTGGCAGAGAAACAGCACCAGAAAGGATTCAGGGATTAAGACAGATAGGTAGTGCAGCATAAACTCCTGGGGCAATGGAAAAAAAAAAAAAAAAGAAAAAAAAAAAGAAAAAGAAAAAAAAGCCTGCTCTGATCCTCTGATCCTTACACACACTTACACACATAAAGAAGGGAAAGCCAAGTACATGGGAAGGATGCCACCAGGACTCTGGGACAGGGAATTCAATCACAGCTGCTGCAGGCTGTGACTGAATATCATCCTGCTTGCTAACATCCCAAGAGCCCTCTTCAAATTAACGAGGGGGTTTGTCCTTTCTGCTCCAATGAGAAAGGTGGCAGTGAATAGCTGGGGGATGATTTTACTTTCAGATGAGCACTGGTGTATGAACAGTGCTGGCAAATCCATTGCACAACCTGGGTGTCAGCATCCTGAGCAACGTGTGATGAGCCTGCAGCCAGTTCAGAGGGGGCACAACTGCACAGCACCACCAAGATTTAAACTGCTCAATAAAACTAGCTAGTAAAACTATTAAGCTAAAACTGTGTTTAGTTTAATAAAAGGGCCTTCATGAAGAAAAATCATTATAAAATCTAACTGAGAAGGTTAAATGAGATGCTAAGTCAGGCATATGTGAATGAGACATAAGGCATCTGGTTTTAAGAGTAAGATGATCATTCCTTGGAATGAATGACCAAGGAAAATATGAAAGCTTCTATCCAAGTGTCTTTACATCAAGGTAGATACCTTATATTTCAGCTAAATTTAATTTACAGCATTTGTTATAGAGTCAGTTGAGCATAACATTATGACTTTTTACTGAGAATGCAGTTCTTATTTCATACTTCTGCCATTTCATTTCTGGTGGCCCTGCAACTTGATTTGTACACATTTTGGAGGCTTTAAAAAGTTATTGGGGAAAGCTTTTGCTTTTGGAAGAATTGTATAAAAAATGCCCCACTGTATAAGGCATCATTTTTCCCAGTGCAGCTTTGCAGCAAGATACCTTTCAACATTTTCACAGCAACTATTCTGCATGTTGGTGATTTCCTAATTCCAAAGGCAGATGCTTGTACCACCTTTCCGAAAGCTCCATGTCCAAGAGACTTTCCTGTAAAGAAAATAAAGTGGAGAGATACATCTTGGTAAAAAAAAAGGAATCCTGTCAGCAAATGGCTTCATAGATCATGAACTGAAAAATGTACTTTCCAATGAATCCCATCGGTATATTTCCAACATATAGCTGGTTTAGGTTTCTTGGTTTATTGGGTTTTTTTAAAAAGTAAGCAGTCAAACTAGAAGACAGAGTCATCAGAGGGAACAAGTGATAGGAATGAAAATGTCACTAAATGAAAGCAACCATTCATTGGACGTACACTGGCTTCAAACTTGATTTTTTCAGTCTAGTTCTGCCAGAGAAAGATTTTGCTCCACTTTTCCCTGAGCACACTGCACGGTGCAGCAGCCTGTGGTGCTGCCAGTTATGTCTTCAATAACACAGACCCTCTTCCCCTTTGACAATGTGTTCACATGGACAGCTCTGGCTGCCTCTGCCCTGCTACAGAGGCTGTCAAGGCTTGCTCAGGGAGATCTTGTCAACATATCAGCTCTAGCAATAAGTTTTATTTCCAAGTAACTATTTTCAGATTGCTTTTGTGCTTCACCTTCAGCAGAACCCAGGTACCAAAGTGGCTAACAAGAGTATGGCACCAGGATCTGCGGTGCCATGCTCTTCTACTCAGAGAAGAGCAGAAAATACCAGTCAGCTTTTCACATAAAAGCAGAGGACAACATGTATCATATATTTGTTTCTCAGATATACACATGTGGCATGGCCATCTCCACAGGACAATGTCCTGTTCCTATGATGAACACCTGTTTGACTAGCTCTCAGGTGGACATCTATCTTGTTGGTATCTGAGTGAGAGATTAATCCCACTCAGATACTTGCAAGCAGGGAAAAAGAGCTGCTGTCTGTACTAGTTTAAATCAATACTGCCTTTTATATGTGTATATTGTATCTAAACTGTAATTCTCAGTATGTCTGTCAGTAGAAGCAAATAACATATGTTATAAAAATCAATGGAAACATGGAGTGGAATATGCTGAGCCAAAAAAACCCCAGAAAATTATTTCCACCCTAGATGCGCAAAAATGTTGTCATTTTTTTACAGCAAATAAAAGCCACAAAGAACTTGATCTACATGACTAAAAAGCATCAACAAACTGACCTTGGTTTGTGAAGTGCTTAGTGTTTGATGGAGAAATACAGATGAATCAGTGTGCATCTTAAAAACTACTGTTGCCTTTTTCAGTTACTGGATATAGATCGTGTAAGGGAAGCATCATTAAGACTCTGGTCTCAGGTTTTCTTTGTGAATTGATGTTTTTAGTTCTTAACATTTTAACTGTCCGTGGTTTCTGCACAAAGAACTTGCAGTTTAAGGTCCTATAAAACCCACCATACCTTTGTTTAATCCGTAGCTTTAATCTGTTTCCATCACTGTTAATGCACTTCCCACATCGTGATAACTTACTTAGTCACCACTTGGAAAACACAGCGGCTCATAAAGCTACACAAAGCTGCTAACCTTTCAGAAAGGAGAATGAGCACTAGAAACAGCACTTCCTTCTCTAAACAGTGGTGTGATTCAATGGGAGACTGTAACAACACTCAGTCTTTGCTGCTCTGCTGCTGCTTGTACCGTGCTGAATAGTAGCACAGGACAGGGCTGCTTTAACTTTACATCATGCAGCTCAAAACTCCACGGTTTAGTATGCAATTGTGGCTATGGCTGTTCTTGCAAATGTCCCTTCTGTTGACATACAAAGTAACTACAAAATTATTAATCAGAGGAATATTAAGTTGCCCAACCATCTGAGCAGTTTGTCATAGCCTTTGAGCAGCTACACTGGATGTGTTTGGGGTAGTGCTCAGATATGTAATACTGCAGAATTTAGATCCAGACCAGTGAAGCAAAGTGCTCTGCTTAAGTTTTCCACACTTGACTTGAATTTACTGGGCCACTCAGAATGCATTAAAGTGAACATACGCCTCAGTCAAGAAGTTTTGAATCAGGAGAATTTTCCTTTCAGTCCCATTTTAGCAGAGTCCTTCAAGCATGTCAGTTGCTGGACCTGGAGCATTAGCAAAAAGCACTTGCAGGCACCGCACCCCATGTCTGTGGGAGGTATGGGCTCCGAGGTGTGCTCATTTCTCAGGTTCTTTGCCTAAGCTTGAGTCATCTGGGTTTTCCCCACGGATGGCTTCACGTTTTCCATTATGTTACACAGGACAGCTGTGCACATGCAGGAGAGTGGGAAGCGCTGTGCTCGGTGCCAGCACCGTGGGCTTGCAGGGCACAGGAGGGAGCAGGGCTCGGGAAGCCCACTGCCACCAGAGCCTGTGACACTGCTCTGGAGCCAGCAGCCACACTGCCCCGGGCCCTGCGTCCCAGCATCAGCACTGTGCCACCTCTCCAGACCGGGAAGGTCAAGCCCAAGCGGGAGGGGAGAAGCGCGCGATGGCTCAGCTAACACAGCGTGTTATCACCGACCGCACTGACAGTGATTTATGGCACCAGCCTTTTCTGCCTAATGAAAAGATGACATTTAGTCTCAGTGAGACTAATCTATGCTGAATGTTAATTACCCTGACTTCAGTGATGCCCATATGAAGTTTCCTGTAATGGCTGTACCTCTTACAGATGAAGGGAGAGTCCTGTTATATAAGCATTGCATTGCAGCCGTGGGCTGTGCGTATGCATGTTGGAGGAACACACAGCAAAAGAGATGTGGGCTGAAAGGAGAGACTTCTTTGCAAAAGTTATAATAAATATGTGTCCTGGAAGCTAAGTAGGTGGAAAGAGAAAAACAGTCGCATTAGATGCTGGAAGGGGTTGCATTTCCAAGTAAAAATATTTTTTAAAAACCATAGAAGCATATTTTGTGTTTGTGAGACACTAATCCTCAGAGACTGCCAAGGTTACTCAAAGACTGAGCCAACTGCCATGTAAGCAGGACTTGCACTGAACTAATCTAGCATACTGCACATACACAACTTCTTCAAATCTGGTTCTCATTCATTGTCAGCATTCTTTATTTGTTTACACCAGTTCTTCCACTTTTAACTCATTCTCTGGTCATCGTTCGTCACCTCTGGACTCCAAACACTAACCCTGAAAGGCATGGGTTTTTCCTTGCTGTTTACATTCCATTTCTGTTTGTTTCTTTCCCAGTGGTCACATTGTCTGCACATCAGGCTCTTGGTCCATCACTGTAAGAAAATTGTCTGAAGATTGAAGTCACTCCAGCACAAGGTTCCAGCATTCCCAGAATTATGCATGACAATTATAAATCGAGAGCAATGTATTTCAGCTGTGCTTATCCACATCTGGCCACCTTGTGTCTTCTGGCAGGCAAATTTAGTGTGATCCTAATTTTGCACATGTTAACCAAGCTCTGTTCCTGATACCCAGGAGACAGGAGGAATCTGTTATAGCTCCTAACCAAAATGCAAGGATTTTCTAGACCTTGCTGTAGGACAAATATGATGCATGCCTGAAAGAACAAACAGCACTATAGCAACGAGGCTGAGCTTATCACTGACATTTTAATGTTGACCTTCTTGCTAAAATCTGTGTGGTTTCTGGAGGGATTCATCAACTTCCAAATAAGGTCCCATCCCCCCTTCCCTTCTCATCAGCCCCACATGAGGCTTAATAAGGAGTGGTTCCAAACCCATGCCTTTTGCTGGGACATTTATTGGGGAGCCGGCTGTAGGTTTAAAGTTTTCAAGGGTATTTATTTATTTATGTGTGGACTTACATGTCACATTCTTGCTCTTTATGGTGCAATAACAGAATATTTATAAAACTGCAGCACAGAGGGAAAACAAGGAGACTGTGCTGGAAAAAGAAGGAGAGGGAGAAACGGGAAGGGGTGCAGGATGGATTATGAGGATCCATTTCTGCACAGGTCTTTTTCCAAGTTTCCAAGTTGAAGAAAGGGAAGAAAACAATAGAATCATAGAATATCCTGAGTTGGAAGGGACCCACAAGGATCATCCTTGTGGATGAACCTGGCCCTGGACAGCACAATTCCAAGCAGCACACCATGTGCCTGTGAATGTTGTCTAGATGCTTTTGAGCTCTGTCAGGCTGGTGCTGTGACCACTTCCCTGGAGAGCCTGTGCCAGGGCCCAACCACCCTCTGGATGAAAAACCTTTTTCTAATATCCAGTCTAAACCTCCCCTGACACAACTTCAGGCCATTCCCTCCGATTCTGTCACTGGCACCAGAGAGAAGAGTTCAGTGTCTGCCCTTCTCTTCCCCTCACAAGAAAGTTGTAGCTGCAGTGAGGTCTCCTCTCCACTCCTCTTCTCCAGGCTGAACAACCAAACTACCTCAGCTGCTCCTCATACAGCTTCCCCTCCAGACCCTTCATCAGTTTTATAGTGAATCACCAAAACTACAGTAAATGCCAAAGGTCAGGCTCCTGAGTCTAGAGAGAGAAACATCGAAGTTGGCAGTCTGATTTGGGAATCTTTAGTTGCTCGTTTTGTGTCATGTTTTAAGTAAATCAGTTTCCAAAATATAGAATGCATCATTCTTGTCTATATTCTTCTCCTTCTGTGGCCAGGTGGCCGACTTAATAGATGAGGGAAAGGCTGTGGATGTTGTCTGCCTGGACTTTAGTAAAGCCTTTGTCACTGTCTTCCACAGCTTTTTCCTGGAGTGAACAGATAGATTATCCATGGTTGGACTTCATCTTGAGGGTCTTCCAACCTAAAGGATCTTGTGGTTCTATTTTCTCTTTCCTACATGAAGTCCAAATATACATGTGAAAAGTCAAGTAGACATGGTCAGTCAGTCCTAAAGGCTGTAATTCATTTGCAGATCAGTGCTTGCAGAGTGGAACAGATCACACCAAACCTGGAAGTACACTGTGCTGAGTGCCTAGAACACATCAGCTCCTCTTTTCCCATAGTTATAGATACATCTTATTCAATCAATCCAAACTGTAAATGAGCTATTCCAATATTACCTAGTTTTAGCCTTTCTCTTGCGATTTCCCACTTGCTGGCATCATAAGGTAGACGTTCACATTGCTCATCTAAGGGGACTTCATCAGGATCCATGATGATTGATAGGTAATGGTTGGTCTTCATTTCAGAGGAACGAGGCTAGAAACAAAGACATTGCAGAATAAAAAAGAGGATTAGAGTATCTGTCAGCATCTTCTTGTTTGGATCAAGGGCTCCAAGTTCATTCTGTTCACAAGGCTGCATGTTTCACTGCACACTGCATGGTTTGGTTAAGCTCCCTTTGGCTTTTCTATATTTTGCAAGAGTCTTTATATAAAAGAAACTCCTTCCTCTAGCTTTCCTCCCATCTGGACATACCAGTTTCTTCAATGAAATCCATGTGGGTCCCTATTAACATATGGTGTTATGACACAGGCCCTCTGCACGGTCAGGAGAAATACTTTCAGCAAGTGACTAAACATTGCTGATAAAAATAACTTTCCTTCATGATTGTGCAAAGCAAGAAGTGGCCACATGCAACAGATGGAGTTCTACTGCCAGTGTTTATTTGTTCCATATATCCCGCAAAGATAGGTCATATGTGGTTAGAAACTGTGCAAGACAAGTCCTCAGCACACTGGACATTGAACACTTCACAAACTGCTGACAAATTGTAGGACTTTTTATTTCTTTGGTATAAGTTCTGAAAAATTTACTCAAACCATTTGAGTCTGGAGGAATTTATTAACAGCTGGACTCAAACACATATTTTAAAACATAAAATTTCAAATTAATTTGCCAGCTTAGTTTCTCCTGAGCAAATGTATTATCTATCCACTTCACATGAGAAATATAAGGAAAGATGAATCTGATCTGAAAGTTTCCTGCAGTTCATCCATTTTGAAATGTATGTTCCTTCAAAGAGCATCAAGATTTCCATTCTAATCCACTGGACTTCTCTTGACACAGGAGTACTTATCTTTCTATAGAAAAGGTCTAGTGTTTGCCATAATTTCCTGGCTATTAGTTGGAATCTATGGGAAATCTGCAGAACTGAACCTGAAGGTGTTGCTTTTCCTAAACTTGTGGAAGTAGCACATAGACAAAGACATACAGATATCACAAACATACAGATATAACCACATATTCTCTTTTCTATTATTTGCTTCAGCTGCCTCCTCATACTTTCAACTTCCCTCCCCTACAGTTTAGAAATATGTCCCTAATACCTGCATTTCTAGGCATGTTTTTTGAGAAGGATATTCTCAGCAGTGCATGCCTTGATTACAAACACAATTAGACTAAAATGACAGTAATTAACAACTGCTGTTCTAATTGCTTTTCATCTGCCCCAAACCCATAAATTTTGTCCCAAGAAGGATGCACTGATGCTTGGGAGAAAGTCAGGAGGCTTGAAACCTGGCTCCAAACCATCCACTAAGTCTGGAAAGAACATGCATAAGTGGGATATGAGTAGAAACAGAAACTTGTGTGGTGCTCCAGAAGGGGCATTTCTAGACAGAGATGTGTGTACCAAAGTGCTCCTACCCATCACATTAGAAGAGCTTTGAAGTGGACCCATTCCAGAAAAAGCAATAGGGGAGTAGAAAAGTCAGGCAGTTTCCCACAGTTCCTTCTTCAGATGCACTCAATATCAAGGTTTTGGCACAAATGGAGATTCAAAGCAGCATTTTCAATGATGAAAAATTGTTAAGGATATAATCTCTCCCTGTGTGCATCACAGAGAGGTTTTAAATAAATGCTCTTGGAGAGCATGTTTTTTTTCTGTTGTGGCAACATAATTTGTATATAACATTTAATTCAGAGCTAATTCCAGTCATAAATCTTTGAGAGTAAGGGTTTATAAGAGAAACACAGAGAAGACCATAAACATAGACTAACACTAGTTGGAAAGTTGCCTCAACATGTCACTTAGTTAAAGTCCCTTGTTCTACATGATATTTTTATTATCTGATGATATTTTTATTATCTTTTAACAATCTAACAAGTTTTGGTCTCATAAAAAATAAAATAAAAAAGATCTGCAACCCCTTGCTACACTTAAAGCTTACTTTTTCCCAAGATTTGCAGTCACGTTATAACTTGCTTCATCATTACTGTTGAGCATTCAGTACTGGTCCCTCTTGCCTTGTAATTTCCCTTACAGCTATGAAGTTTCTCCACAGTTTCAGCTGACCTCTGCTTTCCTTTCCCCCAAAGTCCCACGCATTTCTCCTCACCAAAGCTTGCAGCAGTAGGAATGCAGGCGGAGTGACTGCTGCTGTACTGCCCTGATTTGGACTGATTTCCCATCAGTCAATAAAAGTTAGTTAGTTAGTTAGTTGGTTGGTTAGTTAGTTAGTTAGTTAGTTAGTTAGTTAGTTAGTTAGACTGATTTCCCACCAGTCAATAAAAGTTCTTAGTACCCAACCTAAGACACTGGCAGGCCTTAGTGCAGGTTGAGGTGACATGGTCTGTCAGCCATCTGGGACATGCCCAGCTGTGGTGGCTGTGAGCAGATCCCTGGGGTGCTGTGCTGTGATATCCTGGGCTGTTGGTGGTGTGGGAGTGAGGAGGGGGGGCACGCAGTCATTTCTCAGCTCACGTCTTGCAGTGCCCCAGTACCTTCCCTCAAATCCATCTGCTCCTGCAGGTTACACTGAGGAGTTTTATTTTGTGCTTGGGAAGGCTGCTGTGGTTTAGCCTGCACACATCACACAATGCAGACAGGGTGCTGTCAGCAAAAAGGGGTTTTAAACCATCACAGTCAGCCTTGGACAAGAAGGAGGGTCAGCTGCAGGGGCAGTTAAATTTATCATGTTGGTACAGGATCATCTGCTCTAGAAGCTGCACCATCAAAACTCCTTCAGCAAAATATCACTTTGGAAGTGATGTAATTGTACCAGACACTGTGTGAACCAGACCCCAGCACATTCTGTGAAGATCTGTCATTCCCACTCACTCAGATCTTCAAAGACATTAGGATGCTAAACCCCCACAGTTTTTGTAAGGGAATGAGGATGTCTTTGGTGTGAGTCAGGCACTCAAGTGAGCCTCAGAGCCTTGTCCCCACTCAGGCTTTTCTTTCTGGCTTACTCATACTCAGGCTTGCAAGTCACGGTTCTCCAGCATCCATCAGCAGCCTGGTTATTTCACCAGGAACAAGGGTGAGAAGCATCAAAGAATCATAGAATCATAGGATATTCTGAGTTGGAAGGGACCCACAACGATCATCAAAGCTCAATTCCTGGCCTTGCACAGGACAGTCCCAAGAGTCATGCCATGAGCCTGAGAGTGTTATCCAAACACTCCTTGGGCTCTGGCAGACTTGGTGCTGTGAAAGTGAAACAGAATTTTTCTTTGGTCGACCTGACAATCCCAGCAGCCTAGGAAAATTTTTCTGACATGAACAAAGAGCTGCCAAGGAGAGGCAGGTGCCACAGGGAGATCCCTGTCTGTTCTTACCCTCTTCAGCTTGCGAATGAAGAGGGTCAACAGGAGCCAGAACAGCGTCGCAGCCACACAGGTACAGGTCAGAGTTATCAGCTCCAGGTTTGACCTCTCTGATATGCCTGGGAAAATCAAGTGGGAAACATATTAGAAAATGACCTGCAAACCAAAGGCACTTCATAGTTGTTGTGTTGGGGTTTTTTTTGCCATTAAAATAAAATACCAGGAAGGACCAGCTCTTTTCAATGGGGTATTAATCTCTGTTTGGACTGGCTCACAGAGCCAAAAAAAAAGGTCTCCTGCAGCCTCAGGAGAGGACAGGGCTCACAGAGGGACAGCTCTGCTGAGGTGGTACTGTGGTGTGAGAGCTGCTGCTAAGGTGCTGGAGAAGCTCCTAGGAGGGTTTGTGCTGGTGTAGGCACCAGTGACTCCAAGTGTGACCCAGGGCACGTTGCAGTGGTGCTACTTGGGGTTTGCTGTCCAGGACCTGATGCCTTTCCTCATCCGCTTCTCAGAGAGCTCTTCCCTGCTGGTGGCTGAGCCCTGCAGCCTGCACCTCCATCCCAGACATGCTGTAAGCCCTCCAGCCCTCACCAAAACCATCCCTGGGGATTCTCTTGGAGACTCATGGTGCTATCAGGAGGAGTCCATGAGCTCTTTTTCCCATGACTTGGATGAATCTGATCTGTCACCTGGGGGCTCAGCTCATACATAGCATGGAACCAGGGTCTTGAGCCTCATTCCCACTGGGCAGAAATCCAGGGCATATGGCCTGGCCCTCCCTCCAAATCCCCTGCTCCCCTGGCAGGCTCTGTGCCCTCAGGTGTCCTGCCAGTCACACCAGCAGCACATGGCCAGGCTCCCTGAGGGAACACAGGACCCCCTCCTTTCCCAGCAGCACCCCACAGAACCCAGGTGGCAGGGAGCTGGGAGGGCTCTAGAAACCAGGGAACTGATTAAGCACAGAAAGGGCAAAACAAAACTGGCCACAACTGAAAATGAAGCAGCAAGAAAACATGAAGATTAGAAATCTGGAAAGTATTAGAGCCCACGGACAAATCTTAAAAAAAGCCAAAATAAAACTCACTTCAGACTGCTATTTAGGGATTTGTAAAATAGATTCAGAGCAGTTTGTTTCGCAAATCCTGTGATTGCATCAAAAATCCCACACTTCCCACAATATGTTTTCCATCTGATTGTTATAAAAGGCAAAAAGAACCATCATACCCTGCCTCTTATTCTGATATACCCTCTAGAGAGGGTAAATGAGAGGACAAGGAGGAGGAATTCTGAACATGATTTCACACTAGTTTTGTCTGCACTTGCAGAGTTTCAGAGCCTGACAGCTTGGTGTTACTCCTGACAAATGAAAAAGGTGTTATTGTGTCTCACTGGTGACTTTACTGGGTAATCCAGAGGGGTGTCCTGCCTGGTTTTAGGCAAAAGGCCACAAGGCTTTGTTTAGAGGATGTGTTGCTTAATTGGCATAATGTATTCCCTCCCTAAAATGATAATCAGATTTGTATTCATATCTAAGATTTCCCTCAGATGTCTGTTCTGGAGCTTTGAGAATAAAGCTCATTGAGGAAAAACATGACTGCAGCTATGAATGGAGGTACAATAGTCTCCAGAAATACCAAGAGAGTTCTCTTTTCACAAGTATTTTTTTCAAGTACTTGATTTAGATATGGAACATAATGATAGCATAAATAATACAGCCCAATGCTGCTTGCCTACTCTCTGGCATCTGCATTTCCTTTTACATTTGGATAGTCTCCTCTTGCTTCTGACCAGCACTCCTGCAGAAGGCAAATAATAGTTTCTGATATTTATTCAGCAAAACCAGAGGGGTTGAAGTTTCATTAGTCACCACAACTTCATATGGCAGGACACAGAACACCCATGAGGTACAGCCAGGCCTGGGGTGGAAGACATAAATGCTCTAACCATTAGAGTAGCTACCCAGGAGTGAGCAAAGAGATGCAAAGGTGCTGTCTTTGAAATGTTTGAGCAAATGTAGGCAACCAGAAAGCATTTCTCCAGCTGGGCTGGGTTATCAAATGCCAGAGTCCTAGTCTTGCTGAAAGCCTTGAAGTCAGAGCTCTCTGAGTGTCTCTCAGTGGGGAAGAAAAAGGTTTCATTTGAGGCAGAACTGGCAGAAACAGTCAGAAGAGACCTTAGGATTAGCAGAGTTTGGTGGGCTTTAATCAGTGCTAAATCCCCCTCTCTGCCTGGTAGCTGAAGATTTCAGGCATCCCCTTACACCTCCATCCCAGAGCTTTACTCACCTGACACCTCATTAGACAAAGACTTTTCCCTGTGTGCAGCTCTGTCCCATCTGCCTGACTCTGTCCCAAGCAGCTGCCCCCTTTCTCCCCCTTTCTCCCCTCCAAAAGCCCCCATGCACCACCCCATGCCTGCAGGACTGCAGAGGGGTGAGGAGGGGTGAGTGAAGAAGTGTCAGCAGCAGCGTCTCTTTTTCAGTAGCAGCAGAAGCCACCAGAACCATGCAAGTATGCCAGGACAAGAGCTTGGAATAATCTGCTGATCCCTCCAGCTACAAGCTCAAGCCTTTGGCTGGTATGGGCTTTCTCATTAAGATTTCAGCTCTAAACACCTAAACAGTGTGGTGCAGCTCAGGTGTCAACCAGGGAAAACGAAATGCATCCCTCACCCCTACCCCATTGGGATCTACTCTGCTCAATCTGTGTGATCTCACAATCACAGAACTGCAGCACTGGGATTGGTGCTCAGAGATGCTGAGGAATATCCATCCTCAAAGTTTATCATAACTTAGCCAGACCATTGGTGATGACCCTTGTTTGAACTGAGGTTGAACTATCGACCAACAGGACTCCATTCCAAACCTCTTTAGTGGAATTCTGAGGTAACAGGAGCCTTAGTATCCCCTGATGTCCACCTGCAATCTTGCAAACTGAAGTCATGACCCAGGCTGAACTTTGTTTAGTAACTGTGGGAATTCCAGCTAAACTTCATGGAGAAGTTCCTGATGGCTTCAGCATGACTCAAAAGGCACAACAACTTTCTGAGATACAAAGTCAGAAAGGTTAGGTAGGTAGGTAGGTAGACAGCTAGATAGATAGATAGATAGATAGATAGATAGATAGATAGATAAAAAAGTTATTTAAAATAAGTCATTTAAATAGGAGTTATTTTAAAAGCTGACACCATTTTCATAGTGTCAGCATTGTTCAGTGAATACTTGATAAATATTTTCCTTTTCATCAGCAGGATTCACATGAAGTTATCAAATATCAGCTTTAAGACAGGGCACTTTGCTATATTCCTTTGCTTGCTATATGTCCATATTTCAGTGAGCATAAGCTGCTCCTTCCTTTATCAACACATCTCCTTCAAAGCAGCACCCCTGCAACTAACTGTATCCCTGGGGCTGTAAGGGTCCTCAGTAGAGGGAGCAGGAAATGGCTTTCATGGCAGCTCTGCAAACATGTTGATCCCCCCAAAAAAGCTGCCCAAGATGTCCAGCAGCATTTCTCCCCAGACTTTAAGGGGTACAGTCCTCTCCACCTGCTGGATGCTCTGGCAGCCATCTGCTGTTTCTATTCTGTCCTTGCAGATTTGGTGCCTCTTCAGTTCCTCAGCCAAGTGCAAGCAGAGAGATTGCTCTGACATGCCCACAGACATGGCCCTTCTCCTCCACAGATAGCTCAGCAACCCCTGGTTCCAAACCAAACACAGCCTGCAATAATTTCAAAACAGTCCTTTGATTCCCCCATCCATTCATCCATCTCGGACACAAAAATAACACATTGTTTTATCTGTGAGTATAAGAATGTTTTCTCAGAGGAAATAAAGAGAGCAGACAGTTTCCTTCCTGACTCATTCACAAACTACTCTTCCAATCTGCTAAACGTGGCCATCAACATGAGGCACTGCTCTGCTCCCTTTGATCTGCAGCCCGGGTTCAGAGAGCCCCAGGACAGAGGCAAGGCTTTGGTGCTCACAGCAGCAGGCACAGGTCCTCTGTTTCTCAGAGAGACAAGAAAGTGGCAAAGCTTAGAGAAAGCTGTCAAGCCCTGATCTTGTCCCTCCAGGCTCAGGGATGAAGTAGGAGGCTTCCTTTCCTGGGAGAGGGACAGACATTCCAGAGCAGTGTAGGAATGAGTAAAAAAAGCTCTAGTGACATCCCTTCACGTAGTAGGAAAAGAGTGGAAAGACATTTTCCTTGATCAGAGTAGATAAGACAAACCGTCCCCCTCTTCATCATCCAGTCTCAAAGCCATAAATTTTAATGTGGTGGTCTTCATCACCTGCTCCCATAGAAGTCATACAAGAGCATTGCTGGTGGTCCCTCAGGACACATAACCACAGCAGAAGCCTTCCTGGATGCTCCCTTTCCTCTCTGCTGGACTAGGATATATGACTTCCTAGAAGCCATCTGACAGAATGCTTGTGGTTGTAATAAAAAGCCAAGCTTCAGTTATGTTAAAAATCAATACAATAATGAATTACATTGTCCAGGACTATGAATTAGTAGGATGATTTGGACAGCAAGCAGCTGGCACAAGTTATTAATTTAGCTGTTACAGCAGCTGTAAAAACCTTGGTATTATCAAGGCACTTAGAGAGAGGTGATTCTGCCTCTCTGCTATTGTGAGACCCCATCTGGGGCACTGCATCCAGCTCTGGGGCTTCCAACATAAGAATGATGTGGATCTTTTGGAGCAAGTCTAGAGGAGGGCCACAAAGATGAGCAGAGGGCTGAAGCACCTCTCCTATGAAGACAGGTTGGGACAGCTGGAATCGTTCAGCCTGGAGAGAAGAAGGCTCCAGGGAGAACTTTTGGCAGCCTTCCATTACTTAAAGGGGGTCTAATAGAGAGATGGAGAGTCACTGCTTCCAAGGGCATGGAGAGACAGGACAAGGGAGGATGGTTTCACACTGGAAGAGGACAGGTTTAGATTAGATATTAGGAAGCATTTTTTTAGTCTGATTGTTATGAGGCCCTAGCACAGGCTTCCCATGGAAGTTCTGGGTGCTGCAGCTCTGGAAGTGTTCAAGGCTGGGTTGGAGGAGGCTTTGAGAAACCTGGTCTGGTGGAGGTGTTCCTGCCTTCCACTAGACAAGGCTGGAGCAAGAGGATATTTAAGGATCCTACCAACCCAGACCATTCTGTGATTCTATAATTATTCATAAGGGGATAGGTATTTAACTCCTCAATTTCACCAGTTAGGCCAGCCCACACGTGCATACACTTATCCCTGACCTTTTAAAGCAGAAACATCATTGTATCATTACTATTAACTCCGACTGCAAACACACTTATGGCAAAAAAATCAATATTAGTTGTAATTGTCTTGTCCTGCAGAGTATCCAAATACTCAGAAGTATTCAGACACATTTAACAATTATATGAGAACATCCACAAACATATAATCTCTGCCTAAGAGGCCTGGTTATATTTCAGTTGTGTTTTTAAGGAGCAACTAAATGCATCCAGGACTACTTACTTAACACCAGGTCAGTAAAATAGATTATGTCAATTTAATACATGCACGACACTGACCTATATGGAGAATGTCAACCTACTTCTCTAATCTCATAATTCATGAGCCAAAAGGGTACTCAATGAAATTGAAAGGTCACTGAATAAACTTTCTTTTTATTTAATGTAAAATTAATTTATTTCCCTGCCATAGGCATGAATCGAGATTGTCAGAAGGCAGAATAATGCTGGACATTAAAATTATTAGCATGATAACTCAAGTAATGGTTACAGAAATAACTAAATCAAACCACTTCCTTGTAGTAATACCTTTACGTATGTAGCTATTGCTAGGCTAAAATCTTCCAGTCTGATTTGGCAATTCACTTTACACTGAAAAATAAACAAATCAGAACATCCCAGGCCTCTAATTTCTGTGGGATTTATCTGAAATTGGAAAATATGTGGGTAGGAGAGTGTTACTTACCCTGGTTATTGTTTGTTTTGCTGATACTAAATTTACATTTGTCTTCTACCCTGACCTGATCTTTGTTGGGTTGAAGCAATTCTTCTTTTTAGGTCAGTGTAAACACACTCTGAGTTAGCATTTCCTGCTGGGCTTCCTTTCCAACCTGGTATGCTTCCCTTGCTAGGACTTCCTTCAAATTGCTTCAGAGATCACCAGAGGAGTCCCAGGTCATACCTCTGCCCTTCCAGCCTAAGAACATCACTCTGGAAGGCTTGCTCTTCCCATTTAGTGTGATGCTTTACCTTGTACCGTGACATACGCCGCACTCTCCACGGACCCTTTCAAGTTGGTGGCTATACACTGGTAAAGTCCTTCATCCTCCTCTTTTACTCTTTCAATAAACAGCATTCGGCTTCCAGGCCCTAAAATTATTCCTGTGAAATGAAATATTTTGCAATGAGAGGGAGCCAGGATATAAACAAAACCTGGCCCTTGTGTGCTAGTATCTGCTTTAAGATTTTCTCAGAAGAAATCTGAGCCACAGACTGCACGGCACAGTGTTGTCTGCAGGAAAGCCAAATACACTTGGACGCCTTGCGAGCCTCTTGGAAATCAGTGTTTACAAAGCACTTGTGTGAGTCAGAAAGCTCAGCCTAAGGGAATGATCTTGGAAGTACTTGGTACTGTTTATGTTGATAGCACTGTGCCTATGCTTTCATCCAGGTAAGCACTTGAGAATGTCTGCAGCTTTTGGAAAAAGGATAATCTGATTACTGCATTTACAGTCCCAGGTCTGCCCCAGAAGCAGCTCAAGCTTAGAGCCCTTCCAGAAGCCCTTCAGACTGTCCCTATGGGCAGCAGACTTGCTCCAAATCTCACCTGCCCTTGTGGTGTGGAGCAATGGGCTCCTTCACAGAGGGGCTCCAGATAGTGCAAAGAGAATTACCCTGAGGGAATTACCTGAAACTTTAAACATCTTGTTTATTCCAGATAGGTCAACCCAGAAGGCAGCCTGGACAATACTCCAAGAAGCAAGGAAGAGGCAGGGAGCAGATTTGGTCTCAGGACTGCTGCTAGGGCACCTTCTAGCCAGGAAATGTGCAATCAAGTACTTGTGTTTGGCTCCATCAGAATCACAGTCCCATCAAACTGTATTCCCACCATCTATTTCAGGCACCTAACTGAAGTGGTCTGACCTACCCTCTGGAGACATCTCCCTGGCTCCCAATTGTATCTGTTGCATTACACCCAAGTTAGACACATAACCTTCATTTTGGAAGATAATGTTATTAATGCACACTACAGCAATGTGATCACTGTAAAGCTTCATGGAATCTGTCTCTAGATTAAGCTTAGTGCCTGGGCTGGAAGTCTGCATGGGCTTATAACTCAGTTGGAGAAATCCTCAGAATTTTTTCCAGTTGTTTTTATTCATGCTATTGTAATTCCTAATAATTCAGGACATGACCATAACTACAAACTTTCTAAAATGTTCTGTAGAAGATTACACTTTGAATTCAAGTTCCAATGCACCAGACCTCCTTGAACATTTTTGCTGAGTGTTTTAACACTATCTCAGTGTGTGCTCCTGAACCAAATGTGCATGAATTCCCATGAGAAAGGTTTTGCCTTTTCCTCTGTCATCCATTTCCATCTGAAATATCCAAGGAACACATCACATCCATGACTATGGTGCCAGCAGCTGGACATTTAGCCTTAGCTGATCTTTCAAGCCACATTCCAGAAACATCAGTAAACAGCTCCCAAAGTTTTCCGGTTGTTGCAACATGCCACCTGGGAAGCTGTTCCTCTCTGTTGCGTGAGACCTGGATTCCTCTGCCGCCATAGATGCCTTTGGATTTTGGATACCCCAGACATGGATTTAGTCTCCTGGATAGTTTTTGACTCATGAACAGACTTTGAGTGCCTGATTACAGACTCCTGCTGGTACTTCCATGTCTGCTGGCCAAGATCCTGTTGCTTGAGCTCCCTCTATAACAAATGGAGGTAAATATATTTCTCTGGAGATGACTCTTTTAAGGTGAAAAGTGTTTCATTGATTCCATAAAGGCCGGTTGTGTCTAGATCTCCAGCCTGGCTCATGTTTTGGAGTGACATGGAATTACCTGGAGCACCCGGGCTGCTGCCTGCCTTCCTTACATCTAAGTACTGATGCCAATGGCTCTGCCAATGGCTATGTAAGGCAGAAGGGTAAATAAAAAGCCTGCTGTAAGAGGTAGGTGAGTACACAAAGCTCTCACCTGGTTCTTGCTGTATTTCCTCATGGTTTTTAAACCAGGATATGTGGGGCTCAGGAATACCACGAGCCTGGCACTCCAACATGGCAGAGTTACTGGCGTTCACTGTCTGATCCGAAAGCTGCCGCAGCAGGGCTGGTGCCTCTTGAGCTATAAGACAAAACAACACCTTTGTTTTACATTCTTGTAATGGTGGAGATTTAATTATCTCCCCTACACACATTTTACTGGTATTAGAGATTGCTACAGCTCTTCTACCAAGCTCATTTTTCACTGACTTTATTTAGTGTTCTACTTAGCTCAGGAGGGTTTGGTGTGTGCAGAGAACTCCCATTACACAGCAATGGCATGCTATGGTGAACAATGAACACCCAATGATGACAGTGTTCAAAAGATTTTCTCAGTTCCATGACCAACCACGCTTGTTTATATCGAAAGCAATGACTTTCTATGAAAGCTCAGTTTTTCACCATCAAAAGAAACAAACTGTGACACCAAAGATTTGAAGAATCATCAGAACAGCCTTGTAGCAGAGTACCTCTGTGTTGCTGATAGCACTTTGCTGCTCCCTACACCGTGATAGCCATGAATGTGACTTTGATAATTTACTTACTTTAAAGAGTACAGTTACAAATCATATTCAGTAAACTCACATAATCCAAAACCACCATGAGCACATAAGCATTGTACCAAAGTCTTCATAAATTATTCCACTTCTGCGTTTCACATATTTGGCTGAACATAACCAGGCCTGGCCAAACCACACCACAGCATTTCAAAAACACACTACAAACATCATGTTAAAGTCATCTCTGAAAGAAACAAAACAATCTCATGATCATTTCAACCCTTTGCCACTCCTTCCCTCATTTCATACAGTGCTGAAGGCTGTTCTAACAAAGGTCAAGATGTTTACAACGTTTATGCACATTATATGGCGACATCTTTCATTCACATTTGCAACTCTCACATAATTATTTTTGGTATTTTGGCCCATTTAAAGCAGTCATGGAGAATTCAGGGAGCTCCTGAGCAGCATCACAGATGGAAATGCTCTGCAGATTCCCTCAAATTCCCCAATTATTTGCAATCTTTGCCTTCAAGGACACTGCCAGGATCAGCAATTGCTAACATGGTAATACACAGATTCCAAATACAAAATGAAACAAAAAAAAAAAGGAGAAACCAACTATTTGCAAAGATTTTCTTTCAAGCTGCAATAGGTGCCAATACACCAAGTTCAGTATCAGTTCTGATACTGATTTGGTGTATTGATATTATTCTGACACTTTCTTAATATCTGATATTCTGTGTTTGGAAGATTATTCTTTTTCCTTACAGAAAAACTAGCCATTACACATAATTATTCTAGCCATTTTCATAATTATTTTGTTACCAGACATAATTAAAAACTCTCCACAAATGTTAAACCACTATGTACCACCAGATTTTTCAGTGTGCATGATCCCCACAGCACTAAAAACACCTTTAAAGTGGGATATTTTTACAATGCCCTTGCCCCTTAAAATTAATTCCAACATAGTCATGACTGTGCAATGACTATGGCTTTTGGGCACTTCTGAGCTGCAAGCCAGTAATTTTCACAGGCAATGAAATTTGTTCTTTACAGCCTGGTAGACAGTTTGTTCTCTCTTCCCAAACAGCATTGCTTATGAGAGGCACTGTAAATTCTTCATCACATACCTACACAATGACATAGTCAACTCTATTTGCCTTGCAGCCAAGAAGACTGCCCTCTTCTCCTTAATACCTCATCTCAATTTTTATTTAATTCTCACTTTTCACAACACTATGAACAGGCACAGTCTGAGGCATGTCCACATACACGTGCTGAGAAGAACTCAATATTTATCAGCAGTCCCTGACAGACATCCCAGCCCAGACATCCAAAATAAAGGCGGACAAGATGACACAACAAAGGCAAATCACACGTTCTGTGAGTTGTGATTAATTTTAATTTGTTTATAGCCATACACTAAAGATGGGATTTCATATTAAGAAAAACTTTTTTGCTTAAAACTTAAGTCATCATTCACATACTTTCAATAATTTCTCTGCTACAATCAGCTGATTTTTCAAGGACTTGGTCAACCTGAGGATTATTCTCTTTTGCAAACCACCTGTTTTCTCCCATTCATTTTTGCAGTGAAGCCAAGGGGGACAGTTTCCAATGTCCTACTCTGCTCACTCCAAAGCCAAGGGGCAAGCCTGGCCACCAGCAGAGTGTGGGGCTCAGCTCCCAGGGCAGCCCCCCAGACCTGACCCCAGCCTTCATGCTTGCCCACGAATGCTGCCTTGCTGGCCAAACTCTGCTCTCAGTAACCCTGAGGAACTTCATTGTAGGCAGAATTTGGCCCAGGGGTGTGACAGGGGGATCACAGAGGGGAGAAGAGGACACTGGTATCAGAGTACTTTTCTGACCTGGGGTGGTAGGGAGGGAGAATTTGCATTTTTAAAAGCAAAAAAAGGGGAGAAATTACAATTTGTTAATTTTCAGGTTTACATATGCATTCCATCCATTTTTGCCCTTTGTTAGGATTATGTTGTCTGTTCACTTATTTTTTATTAATCAGTACAAAAATATAAATACAAGCTTTATTTTAAACACTTAAAAAAAAAAAAGAAGAAGAAATATAATTCACACCTTTCTCCCTAAATAATATATTACACAACAGAAGGCAGAGAAAACTCCCCAAACCCATGAGATTCTCCAGTCATCCAAGGACATCAAAAGCGACATCAGTAGTTTTTATCCTGCCACCAAGAACTGCTTGCCTCCAAGGTTTCCAGTGAGCTTTCTCTGTGTCCTCCAACACGGACAGTCACACTGGGATGTCAGGGCATCCTTGCACAGTGTGGCCTCTGAGTGCTGGTCGAGCCCAGGCTGGTGGGACCTCCACTCAGCAGTGACATACATCATTGCAATGCACAACAACTTCACAGAACAGTCTAATTGCCACATCTCTTTTTTTTTTTTTTTTGACCCAAACTCATATTGCCTGGCAACTGGCTGCACAAATCATGGTGCTTCGGCTCCCAAGGCCATGGAAAATTTGTAATGTCCTGTCATCACCGCCCACCTCGCCATCAAATGTCTTCCCACAAAATACCCTAGGAAAAAAGGGGATTCTGTATTGTAGTTCTTCTGAAGAATTGCAAATGCTAAAGAGTGAGCTTGCTCCATTTTTAAGCAGTCGCCAACGACTTCACTTGCATTTTAGGCATGTTTTAGGAAAAAAAGAGAGCCTGATCCCTTTGCAAGAACACATTGTTTCTGGAAGCCATCACGTTAATAATGAACAAAAGAGTTACTGTATACAAGCAGGCTATAGGTGACATTTCAAGATATAAATGATTATTCTTTTCTTTACTCTGACAACTTCCAGGTTACCAATTGTTTTCTAAGCATTTTAGGCTCCATGAAACTGGCATTATGGGGAAATGCTATTGTTTACCCTTTCACACTTGACAAAAGCAATTCCCACGTGAAAGGCAAGTTTAGCCGTGGGACACAGTCTCGATACCTAAAGGAGGAAATAGTCTGGTGAGTTCCCAAGCGCAAGAAACTGTCATGTTGTCACCCTCTATTTTAAAAGCACAGCCACTTTGTTCCTTTGCTGCAGCTATTTTGGTCATTGTGGTCTGTTTTGTTATGGCTTGTGTAAATGCTATATAAATGATCGATCATAAATGTAACCAAAAATAATTAAAGCTATGTAATTGTAAAAAAATAAAGTTATCAGATCTATTAAAAATAGTAACTTTTTCCTTACACAGAATTTATAGCACACAGAAACATCTCATAGCAAAATCATGACAAAGGAAAAGAAAAGGGGAAATGCTCACAAGGAATTCTTAGGTTGCCCTTAATTGTCCTTCAGCAGTTTTGCTGGTTCTTAATCCCCATAATAAATCCAATTGTCATTTGCATACCAAAAGCAATGAATATTTTTAATGGCATCAATTTTCAATTTGTATTTTTAAAAATATTTTTAACCGTGCTGGCTGAAACCTTTTCAGTCATGTTAGTGTAACATTCCTCATTTGATAAAATAATTACAACATTACAAACTCCTGAATCTTCAGGCCAGAAGCAACACTCACAATTTTATCAGTAGTTTTTTACATTAGTGCAGAACTGACTTTAAGAATTGACCAACACAGCAACTGGAAGTCTACCTGGATTTATTTGGAGAAACATGGTTCATGGCTGTCAGTTGTAAAATCATCATTATTATAAATGATATGATAGGTCTGTGCATTATATCAACATTTTTATTTCTTCCCTGCATACTTCTTTTAGAAGATACTTTTTTAAGATTAATGTACTTTAGTGTAGAAAATAATTTCAAATAAATAAGTATTAGAACTTGCTCAGCAGGTAATATTTATAAGTCCATCAAGATCAGATTAAAATAAAAAATATGTAGTCCAGTCAATCTCAAACTGAATTGTGCTCATTCTGCACATTCAAGTTAGCTTATTAAATGTCCATTGTTGACTGAAAACAGCAGTTTTTAAAGTTAATCAGTTTATTCAGCTTTGACACTTTTGATGAGGCTGATATCAAAGCGGAAGAAAAGATTGATCCAAAGTTTTCCTTATTGCTCAGTAGGAGACAGCAAGAGAAAAAATAACGGCATGTAAAATGTAGCACGGGGGATCTTCCAAACCCCAGCTTCCATGTGCCTTTTCAAAGCAGAAAACACCCGTCTGAACTCAAGTGGAAGCTCACGCGTTAGGATTTTGTTTGCTATTCCTCCTATTTCCAACCCATGGGGAAATGAGCACCACCTCAGAGCTTGAAAGGTAGCAACAGTGATACAAAAATCAAGATGATATGAGACATCTCTTACTGTTTAATGAGTCCTTTAATGTTTTACATTGCTTTGTGTTGTACAATCATTCCTTGTGCTTTTATATTTGAGGATCCGAGAGTAAACAGCCTTTTTGTTGCAGTGCTCACCTCTGATTGTAACGTCTTTCTGTTGAAGCACTTCTTTCCCCGTGTATATGTTCCTTGCTCGGCAGGCATAGGTGCCTGAGTGTGCCAGGGAAACGTTTTTGATGGTCAGAGTGAGGGTGATGGAGTACTCCCTGTTGTGAGACTTCTTTGCTTTCGTTTGATTGTTGACTGTCCTGGGTAAAATCCAAGCAATGTCTTTGTACAGGAATTTGTTGGCCGAACAGGACAATACCAAGTTCTCTCCTTCAATAGGCATTCTTTCCAAACTAATATGGAATCCACTTGGTACATCTGTCAAAAATCAAGAACACTTTTTAGTTTATATGAAACTAATGAGCCAAAATTAACACAGCATATACTTCCCCCTTTATCAGGAAGTCTTTGAACTAATCAATGTCGTTGTCTTCCTGCTCAGGTGTGTAATCTTTCCTTTCATACACTCAGCTCCAGCTATTCTCATAATTTTTCTTAGAGCTATGATACACTTGGCCTCAGATGTCAGTTGGTGTAAACTGAAGTTGCTCTTGGAAGTAATGAGTTTGTATAAATGTTATGCCAAGTTATGACAGACTGGGGCAAGGTACCAAAAGCAGAATTATTTAAAGACATCATATTGGGACTATGAAAAAGGAGAAATATTCTGATCACAGCTCCAGCTTGTGAACTGCATAAGAGAAAAGGAATCTCAAGAGGGCAGTATAAAAATACTGCATTTCATCATGCTTGGTTATACCGTTTTTTTGTTATTCACAAGTGTTCAGGTAAAGTACATCTATTTCTTAAAAATGCTTCAAGTCCTGAGAAATTACATCATCTGTGATCACATGCCTGAGATTTCCCTTGGAACAGAGGTGCTTACCCTCCCTGCATTTAAGGCCTACCAGCCACCCAAGAGGTAAGCAGAAGCAGTACCCTCTGCCCTGGGTGACCAGCTGTGTGTGGGCAGCACTAGGATGAAGGTATTTTATTTAGGTGCCTTGGCATTATCACAGGTGAAAAATATTTTCACCTGAGAGAAACCAAGGATCATTGCACCAACAATTTACAAAGTGTAGACATGGGTTAAGTTTTCACTTCATAGCAGATGGTTCAGGCAGGAGGAATTTAGCCAACAATGTAGAAAGCCCTACTTGAAAAGGTCCTGTTTGCAGTTTATTGTAATGTCACTTGCAACTTCCTCCACCTGGGCAGTGGTGCAGAGCTGTGGTGGTGTCAGCTGCCTCCCAGCTGCCTCCACCTGGGGCTCATCCCTCCAGCAGGGCACTCCTACCACTGACCTCAGTGAAAGTAGAAGTTCCTGAGAGAAAGCACTTCCAAGTTTTACTCCTAGAATGCAACCTCTCTGGGTTTATTTGTAGCCAATATTCTGATAAAGTCATTTCCTTCTTCTCGGTCAAGTGACATTGACCGTGGCCATTTTCAATTGTTCTTTCACTACTAATTGCTATGGCACTTGGCCGTAAACTTGACTTGAAATCCTAAGAAGGGCTTCTTCTTTCATAAGGGAGAATTATACCTTCTTTTCTTGTTTCTTAGATTGTGAACAGCTCAATGCTCACTTCCATTCAGTTCATTCTTACCAGTGTTTCTTCAGGTTTAATGTCACTTCAGCAGGAATATGTAAAAAGTACCTCTCAAGTGAATAATATCCCACATATTTTTTCATTAACCTCTCTCATTGATTGACCAATCCATCAGAAAGTTTCTCCCTAAATCCCCACATTGCAAACTGAGCTGCCTTGTCTTCCAGGGGAACCATGAGCAAAACCTGCTCAATGCTCTCTGCCTGTTGGAAGCCTGGCATCAGTTGTCCCCCATAACATCCTCTTTTCCACATCTATCCCTGAGTTAAACAGAGGGTAAATGAGCTCCTGCTAGGCCTGGATTTAAATTTCTCCTGACAGTAGATGCCTCCCAGGGAGAGGCCTGATTTCTTCTGGTTGAACTCATCGTGCCCCTGCAGTGGGAGCAAAGTGTGTGCCCGTCATCAGCTGTGGTTCAGGTGTGCAGTCCAAAGATCAACCTAGTGGAGGCAGAGACACTAAAATATTAGACTGGGTATTAAAGCTTGGTGTTAAATTGTTCCACTTACGTTCCATTGGGACACCACTTTTCTCTCTCTGGCAAACAAAGCTATAAGAAAAACTTCAAATTTCATGAACTCATCTATGAGTGACAACCATCAGGATCCTGTTTGATATGTAAGAGTGTGTGGTGCCAGATTCTAATCTCAATTAAGAATATATTGACTGGAAGAGCTATTAAGATGAAACACCTCCATACATGGAATACATCATATTCAGCCTCAGCTGCCAAAATGCAGACATTTACTTGAATATATAGATGTTTTGTGTTCTGTATATGTGCAAAAGTTTACAGTCCATGGGGTGACACAGGCTTCTCCAGAGGGCAGTGCAAACCATCCCTTTAAGATGGGTTAAATGCCAGACATCCTGGTCCCTCATGCTTAATTATGAAGAGATCCTACATGATCAGCTTAGGCTTAGGTACCTAATTGTAAGATTTAAGTTAGATGAACTGAATCCTATACTTGATTTTCTTAAAAAACATTAAATTCAAACACACTTAAAAACAATCAGATGGCCAACATTTTGAATGTGGGTAAGTACTTGGAAGAAAGAAGGTGCTGCATCTTACTCACAGTACATTTCAAATTGTTCTGATGTGTGTTGTGAAAGCCAGGGTATTGGTAAGAAATAGTGATAATTTTTGCTTTTGAAGATGCCAATACTCAGTAAAACTAAGAAGAGCCAAGCAAAACTCTTAAGATGAAACTAAAGATCCCTGGGGACTGAGGCAAGTGAACTATTTTTAGCTTAAAAGGATAGCATGCCCACAGTATAATGCAGTTACAACTACTTTTATGTTGTCAGGTCTGGAGTTCTTCCTCAGTGTGCCTTCTGTGAAGACTATTTTCTGAATAAATCTAGGGACAACAGCAAAATGCACAGGGTTCCAAAAGAATCATTTGTTTAAACGCTACAAGCCTCCTAATATATGACACCTATCTCAGCAATTGTTACAGGCTCAGGCTAGCTAAATAACGTGGCTGGGAATAATGTAAAAGGGTTTTATTTACTTTAGTGATTTGAAGCTTCCTGTGGAAATAGCTCCCAGGTTTCCTGATGGAAGATTTTGTTTATCTTTGCCAAGCACCATCAGGAATCTCAAAATAAAATGCGCTTAGTGACATTGGGAAACCAGGGAGATAAGGCAGAGCTGTTCCTGTTTCACCCTCTGTAATTGCAAACACACCCATGGGACTGCTGTGTGCCAGCAAAACAGCCCAAAATGTAGGGAAAGGGGCAGGCTGGAGGAAAGGGTGCTAATACAATTAAATTTGGCATAAAGGTGTTGTTACAGAGACTGCTTCCACACCAGTCAGAAGGAGAGGTTTCAGAAATCACCTTTCTACCTTGCCTTTATGTAAGTTTCACAGCTACTTTTGGGTATTGAACAATGATTTGCTTTTAGATCTAAGTCAGTGACAGTACACCAAAAGTGCTCTTTATCTGACAGAAGCCGTAGGAAGGCTACTCCAAAGCCCATGGTCTTTGTGTCATACATACACCCTGAGGCACAGTGTATAAAATCATGTACACCACTCTCAAACTTCCTAGGAAAAGATAGGGGGGTTTCACTTTAAGCCCAGAAATAAGATTATATTTACAGTAACTAAAGAAAGTGCTTGTTCTTCCTAAGTTCTCTCTCTTGGCAGTAATTTCCTTATGTTTACCGTTCCCTGAAGGAGTGGAACTTGTCAACTCCAAACTAGTGCTGCTGGGACACGTTCTGCCTTCCACCACCTTCCTAATGGTTTCTGTCCTCAAAAAAAGAGACCCTTCACAGCACTGCAGCACGTGCATTTTCTCTTCCCAAGGACAAGGGCTGAGGGAGATTGCCTTCAAGGAAAGGGATCTCCCTGTTCAGAACAGTCTTTGTCTCCATCTATTCTTTATAGTCATTTCTGGTGCTTCCCTTTTACAGAGGGCAGCAGCTCCTTTTCCTACAAGGAATCATCCCCTCCTGCTTGGACACTTCTCTTACTTTTAGACACTTTTGTGTGGCTCAGGCTGACTTCAAATGGCGCCAGAAGACTCAACAATGTAAGATAAACTAGCCCTAAGCTGTCACACAAACCCTGAAGTATTGGTTTTGGACTCATCAGAAGGAAATACTTAGCAGTGTCCTGTTCACATCCATCAGCACGTGAGGCTCTCAGGTTTTTACTCCCTCAGTGCATTTTTCAGCACATTCTGGACATATTTGTTTCTTGATGTGAAACACAGCCACAGCAGTTTGGTCTCAGCCTAATAGAGGAGAATTACAGTGAGCACAACTGGATTTTTGTAGGGACCAAACAATAGTATTGTTTGCGCTGCTTTCAGTCAATGCAAGTGAGTGCCAGAGGATGATCAGGACTTTCCATGTCACACAACTGTAGTGCTCAGCTCCAGGAGCTCATAGGACAAGTGCATTTCAGCTCCACTACACTATAAGGAATGTTTGCCACCAGTCAAGATGTTAAGAAATTCCAAGACATAATAAAGCTGACACTCCTCTTTCTGAACACCAGCCAATATAAGATTCTTCAAAGGGAAGTCATAACATTCTGCATGTTCTTGTGCAAGCCTTAGTATCAAGGAGAAGGATTTCCTTCCATCCTTATTTAAGATCTGAGAATGCTAGGTCTAAATAGGAAAACTACATCCTTCATGTCACTGTGTTAAAATACTTGAAACCACCATCAAAACTTTTAAAGGGATATTTGAATATGGTGAATGATGTCCATCAAAGTACAGCTTCATTTGGTTTCAGGATCTTCCATGTTATATTGTGAAAACTGAGGAATAAGAGTTAAAGAAGGCCAAATTCAGCCCCTTGCACATTGAAAGAGCAGCATTCTCAGTGAATGATCCTCAGTGACTTCTCAAAGTTTCATGTGAAGTACCCACACAAAGATGAAACTATCATTGGCATGTTAATTTATGGAGAACTATGTGGTGTTCATCTTTCTGTTCAAACACACACAATGTGAGGATAGGGATGAGAGCAAAACTAAGAGTGGGGACAAGAGTCATCTTCAAGGTGGCAAATATTCTTGTCACTTCCATTAATAGAACACAGAGACATTTTTCTTGTTTCTGTACTTTAGCAAACAACCTGCCTGTATGTCACTTATCTGTTTATACTTCTCATGCTTCTTACCAATTTTCTATATTTATAGATAAGTGGCACTTTCTAAATGTGAAAGTGTGTTATGACATGGAGCTTTAACAGCTGTAGACACCCACAAACGAAGCCTGCCAGGTGAAACTGTACGAGAAGCACAACAGTGGATACCTAAAAAAGAAATGGCAAGTGCTTGCAGGGGTGCCCATCTGCTGGCATGATGGAGTCATGCTGCCTTCTGGTAGCTGAGGCCTGAAATGTTGGTGAGACAGTGCCACAACTTGTCGAGAGCACTGACTACTGCTCATTGCTACTCTTCTGTGTGGGCAGGAGTGATACCGCAAGCTGGATAGAAGCCAGATGGAATCTGGGCAGATTCAAGGAAGACTACAAAATCCTGGAGGTACCAGAGAAAGGTATTGGTGCCCAAGCTTCTTTTACCAGTTAGAGGAAAGGGCACTCTCCTGGAAGCACAAAACCAGTGCATCTGGGTCAACAGATCTGCTCAGCTAGGGACCAGCTCTGTGGAAAGGGATCTGTGGTAGACAACAAGCTCAGCATGAATGAAAAGGGCGTTGCTGTGGTGAAAAAAAGTCAACAGGCTGCTGGGTTGTAATAGCAAGGGATCACCAGCAGAGATGAAGAAGTCATTACACTCTACTCAGAACTTGTCAGGCCATATCCAAAATACTGGATTCAGTTTGGGTCCCCTCTGCACAAAACAGATGTGGAAAGTCTGGAAAGGGTCCAGAGAGGTGCCACAAAGATGACCAAAGGAGTGGAAAGTCTGCCATTTGAGGAGAGGCTGAGAGAACTGGGTTTGTTCAGCCTTGAGAAAAGGCTTAGGGGAGACTTTATCAACATGTTCCAGTATTTAAAGGGTGGCTACAAAGAAAATGGAGACTCCTATTTCAGGGCACAATGGAAAATATGAGGGGTAATGGGTACAAGTTACTCCTGGGGAGATTCTGATTTGATACAAGAAGAAATTTTTCACTGTGTGGACAATCAGTCATTGGAATAATCTCCCAGGGAAGTGGTGGATTCACCAACTTTGGACACTTTTAAGTTCCATCTGGACAGGATGCTGTGCTTTTCCCAAGACAGGTTGGACCAGATGATCCTGGGGCCCCTTTCAACTTGGTATTCTATGATTCAGCTTGTCATTTTAAAAACACAGAATTTGGGAGGGAGAACATTTTTTGAAGTAGTCTTTCCTTTTTTTTTTTTTTTCAAATCTGGTGAGAGTGTGTCTATTCTCTTTTGATATCTCTCAGAATAGAAATAGAATGAGTTTCACTAAAACTACTCATTAGAATTATAAGCAAGAGAATGACAACATAAAACCCCCAGAGATTATGATTTGGGGATCAAAGCATCTAAATATTTTAGCCTTTTTTCTTTTTCTCATCTTTTTGAATGAATTACATTTCTTTAATGATCTACTCTGAAAATTGCCAACAGCCTAAGTTTATAAAACTACTGCTTTATAAACAAAACTAAACTTTTGACAGAAAACAAATCCTTTGTAATTGCATGTGCAGACTTTGTGTTGCTGAATAATGCAGTAGTTATTCCCAAAGCCACACTGTGGGCTTTTTTCAGAAATTCCTGAAGTAAAACATTAAGTCATTTGTTTGTGAAAACTCCAAACACATCTCATAATGCAAAAATACCAGAAAGCATACTCATACGTGAAGGTAACACCAGAGGAATTCTCAGTGCCATGGCACAAATGGCATTCCAGGCTGTCTTTCTCAGAAAAGGAAACAAAACTCTGTAGTCTGTATCCTGACACTTTTCCACCCATAAGTTGCCATTGTCCCTGAGATCTGTGAGAGGTTCCCCAGACATCTCTAGCAGCATGCTGCCTGCAGACACTGGCACTGCTCTAGGCTCTGTGTTGTGAGATATCCTGGTAGGCAACAGAATGAGGCTGTAGACACCTCAATGTCACATGTGAAACTGGCTTACTGGTGGGTGAAAGTACACTAAAATTTCATGCACGAAATTACTGCAGAGATGAACCAAAATGGGGAATTACTCATTGCTGTATTTGTAATTTCTGTCATGCTTGATGCTTGGTGCTTGAGGGAGGAATGAGTCATTCACCAATTTAGCGTCCCTAGAAATCCAGACCAGCAGCTATGAAACCTACCAGCATCACCCAAAAGCATGGTATGAGCTTACACATTACAGCAATTCTGAAACAGTGGTATATTAAAAAGCCACAACAACCTACAGTTATAACTCCAGGATCAGGAAACACGTTTGACTCTGTAGAGGAGTAGATCTTACCTGTTACAATAAAACTGACATTTCTTTCAGATTTTCCCACTTTGTTGGATGCCACACAGCTGTAGATTCCTGACGATTTGGCTTCAGCTACAACAAGAGTGCTAGCAGTCTGCAAAAGAAAGAAGAGGCTTAGTTCTCATTGGCTTAAGAACTCAGTTAAAGTTTTTCTTCTCTTTTTCCTAAGTCACCATTGACTGTCCCATGATCCACTCTTTCCATTCATTCAGTGATGGGCACATCTGAGACTATTTAAAGGAGATGTTACCATACACAGTTTTGCAAAGGATAGAAGAATAACAGGAAACAAGCTCCTTGGGTGACCCTTATATCATCAAAGCCATCATGACCAAAAATCTTTGAACGTCTTTCAGATTGATTTATCTCTCGCTGGTGATGTAATGGTAAGCTACAAGACATGAAGCACGACAGAATGTGTTTCACACAAGGAGATAAGCAGCCTGTAGGAGAGCCAGACTGCAAAGGGAATAGGTGAGACACGCCTCAGGCATTTGGATAACCCCGGGGGAAAAAAGTAGCTCAATTTGGCACTAAACTTGTTGGATTTCTTTCATTTTCCCACATACGTGTCAGGTGAGACAGAGCAGCGGCAAAAGAGATGTTTACTCATCTTCTTTTGTACTATTTTCCTGGACTTAATATTTCTACTATATGATAATATGTCATTTTTTGTTATGTTATTTTCTATCACCATCTTAAGAGGTCTAGCACACTAAATATTTTCTCAGATGTTATTTGACTTGAAAGATAAGACCTTGAAAGGCCAGGGGCCAAAAACACCTAATGTGCTCTTAGAAACATAAAAACCACTGTAATAATAAGAGTTATACTTTTAGGGTGATGGGAAGCCATGGTCTAGTGGCTTGGGCACTAAGCATAAGAGGAAAGTTATGCAGAAACAAATGATGTGTCATTCTGTTATGGAGCTGAGACATGAGGCACGGACATGGACTTTATCAGTGTAACGTGCTTCCAGTTACTACTTGGTAGCTTAATTTTCTTTCTTTCTGTTGCCATTTTACTTGTTCTGTAAAACATGGTTTGGCTGGAGTTATGGGCAGAGCTGGGACAGTGATGAATGGAAATTGTGGGACTTCAGAATTCCACTGCTTGGAATTGTTTGGTGTCTCTTAATCCTAAAAATAAGTTCTGTGCAATTAATACATTCTTTTAAGTCTGCCTGATTACTGGAGTTCAGAAACAAACACAAGAGGGTGAGGCAGTAATAAATAAGGACCAGTTATCTACATTTTTACATAAACACTGACTGAACATTTGCACTGCTTTTGTCTCCTCCTGGGAGAAAGCATAGCTATCCCCAAACTCTTGTGGAGCCCCTAAATGAAATAGATCTTCTGGTTTCCCAAAATCATTCTTCACTACAGAGAGTCTATTACTTTTCCTGCACTCAAGCAAACACTGTTGAGGCAAATAATTTAGTTTTGACTTATTTGTTTTAGAAGACTTCACTATGGTAAATTCACTACAAGTAATGCTAACAGCATCTCTACCCTGTGAAATTATCTCAGTGGCCAACTACCTGTCTGCTGACATACTACATAGTATTTCTAGCTACAATTTTTTATAAACTACCTTTTTGGATCTTCTGTGAGATTAAAGAGCATCTGTAATACCAGATAGATAATTACAGCCCTTAGGGAAAAATCATCCTGTTTTGCTAAATTCAGTAGGCTGACCTCTATAAATTTCTAATTATAAAGGGTGTGCCTGGTCCTGTCAATATTTTGTCATTCTCTTTGAATTTCTTCCAGCTTATAAACATAATTTTTTTAAGTGTGGACACAGAGTACAGCACCAGGATTCCTGCATCTGCTTTTTCAACACTAACTCGGACCAGAAGGAAGTCCCACAATGTTTACCACAGAAGGCTAATGTGGGTGGTTAAAAACTGCTTCTGCCATGCCAGACTTTACACCTAAAACCAGCCTTTTTCTGCTAGTTGGTGTTACCTCACAGCAGCTTTGCCCAGGAAGCACCTGTGACCTAACATGCACAGTGAAGGAGAATGAAGCTCTTGCTCTCTGACTCCAGGACACCTGTCTTTATTATACACAGAGGCAGAGCATTTCTGAGCCTGAAAAACACATACTGACTATTCCTCCCACAACTACTCCAAAGGTTTGAAAAGTTTTTGGAAGTATCAGACTGCATTTTGTCCTTCTATCATTAGGTATTACTTTTTAATGGAAAATTGTGCATACTACCTTGAGTTTTACTGCTTCAGCCCACTGTGATGTGATTATTACTTTTGTCACACTGAGGATGGTGCATAGAGTTATGCTAAATGACTGTGACTCCAGTGACTTACAGATAATGCCTTTTCTTGTGTATTAAATTGCCTGAGAGAACATTCATTGGCATTGAAACCCAGTGATTTAAATTGCCAGCTTTCGCCCCAGCAGCATTTTGGTTTTGACCAACTTACACTGTCCCAAATACTTCTTTAGCATGGACTAAAGATCACTTCCAACAGGCAACTCCCATGCAAGCAATGGCTCTTTGGAAGGCAAGGGAATTAAATGCTGTGAACACAGGAGGCCTTAGTGCTAGAGAGCACACACTGGTATGTTTACTCTACTGAGGCAGAGAAAACCACAGTGTCTAGGAGGAAGCAAGACTGACTTTGCAACAGAACAGAATATTTAAGAGACAACATGTCTCTGTATAAATCTTTTAGCTTATAAATTAGTCACAAGGATAAGATAACATCTCTTTAAATAGTTTGTGAGCCCTCCAGTGGTGCAGTCTGTGTTTTTCATTGTGGATGCCAGCCAAAACCCACCAGAGAAGCAGTGTGTATAAAACTAAGCCTGGCATATTGTTGATGGAGAAACTATGGCTGTTTGAGATCAGTTTGTGCAGCATGGTCCCTCTGTACAGCTATTACTGCAAAAGAAGCAAAAGTTTTTGCTATCTTGTATCATCTGGCATCACAACAGGGAGTTTCAGTCACTGGATTTGCAGCTATGTTATATAAAGTCTAAATTGAGTTGGCATGATCAGACAGAGCAGGCAAATCCCCCCAGGCATGGTGGCATGGTCAATATCTTCAGCATCATCTCTCCACAACCTCCATTTACTACCAAAGTTTTGGCCTTTTATCCCTTTTTTTTTACTCCCATCATCTCTGCTGAAGCACCATGTCACAGGCTCATCTCAAAGCCAGGGGCTTGGGAAGTGAGTCCCATACTGCTGCTGCTTTGCTGGGCAAATAAAAAAGGCATAAGGCAGAAATCCTAAGAGATGGAATAGGAATTCTCAGATTTGTTTGTGGTGGAAACTGATGAGGAAAAGACTGTGGAGGCAAAGAGAATACAAAGCAGCTGACAAGATCATTGCTGTTGGAGCCACAGTGGGCTGGTCTTTCCCCTGGAGGGTCTGCTTGAATTTCTCTCTTCTCAAAGTAGCTGAGATAGAGGATTCCCAATGCTCCAGCTGATGGCAGAGAAGGAAAATAAGTTTTCAGAAAATGTTTGGCAACCTGGCTCTTATGTGACTCCCAGAAGGCCTCTTAAGATGCTGACATGAACTTGCTCTGTTCAGAGATTGCTGCCCTGACTTCTTGAAACAGCCCACGTATTTAAAAAGCAAAACACTGCCCTTTCAACATAGAGCAGGTTAGTGCAAGTCTGTCAGTTATTGCCGATTCCCTTCTAGTTATGCTTTTAAGAAGAACTATTGACTAAAAAAAAGAAAGGAAATAAATGAAAATACGCTCTCTTTATGCCCTTGGCATTATCTTTGTCTAAAGGAATATAATTTAGGAAGATCCATTTCTAAACATTGGTAGGGCACTGCTGGATTGGTCTGCTTGTGCCAAAGACGTATGATCTGCGTGCCTCACATGTTGGCAAGGAGCATCAGTGCAAAACATCTGGCCAACACGTTTCACCTTCAGGACCAGCATGGGAGAAACACCAAAATATCCTCAACAGGAGGACATGAGCGGATGGGACAGCACCCACTTTCCCCCTGGGGTCAGGCAGAAAAATCTCTATGAGTTGCCGCTGTATATCAAGCAGAGCTGTGTTTTACCTCTGCATCCTGTGCTGTCCTGCAGCTCAGCAGCAGCAAGCCCCAAGCTCTGCTGGTTTTAATCTCATCAAGGGCTTGGCTTTGCTGGTACCTCCCAAAGATTCACTTGAAAGTGTTGACAGCAATTCTAGTAGCACTCGGGAAGGCTCCAGGAGAAGTTACAATGTGCTGAAGAGAGGAAAGTGGGGCTCCCACTGCTATCTTTAGCCTGGGTTCTGAGGAAGATCATACCATCCTTATGTTCATCTGTCTGCCAGCCTGTCCATCTGTCTGCCAGTATCCTCTCCACCCCCACATGCTCAGTAATTTCTGAATCTATTGTCCAGTTTCATCCAAGACTTATTGACAACTCAAAGCTCATGAGATCTCACACATTTAATGAAAACCAGCTGTTTGGTGGAGGAGAAAGATCAAAATGCTGCTGTAGTGAGCTAAACAGCTTTCTCTTCCTCTTTGGGTTCCAGATGGCCAATCTGCACAGATGTACTGGCCAGACAGCTGGCATGTGTCAGGACTGAGAACAGACACAGCTCATGCTTCTCCCTCTCATCAGTAAGATGGGAACTCAGAAGAGAGGTAGATGTTTAGGGCTTGGCATAGAAGATGCAGGAGAGATGGAACCCTTTTATTTTGTGTGATTACACTTATCAGTCTTGTCCAGGAAGGATTGGCTTTTCTGACTATTTAGCACTCCACTTTGGAGAGTTACACTTTTTAATACTAGCACCAGTCAGACTGACCCATCTTTGCAAGCCAAACCGGTGAGTCTAAATTTTGCCTTCCAGAATCATGATACAGGGCCATTACCTTCCTTTTTCCATGAAGTCAAGTGGCTTTGTCATTGTTGGATCCACTAAAAACCTGTGTCAGGTATTCGTGCAGTGGAAAACAAAGTTATATATATATACATAGACATATATATATATATATATATATATATATATATATACATAGACATATATATACTTTTACACACACACAGACACACACCTATATGCATGGTAAGCTCCAATTCCATGCATTACTACCCTTTACACACCATACCTGGAGGCATACCCTGTGACACAGACCCAGCTTTTGTGGTACCTGCTATTGGTCCATGGTACTCCCAACATATGCTAGCAGCAGAGGAATGAGGCAGTCAGGAACATTCTGTTCCACTTCAGGTTCTCAGTAGGTTAGTTCCCAAAAAACAAAGGGTTTTGTCTCACTCTCTCCAACTTTTCCTTGTACTCAACTGCCCTCATGTCTACTGTCTCCTTCCCTTGGATTTATAATCCTTTCTTCTTGGCCCACACTTTTTGCTTTCCCTCATCTCAACTTGCCTTCTTAGTGGTCTTCTGCACATGCTGCACATCCAGGACCCTTGGTGACTTCTACAGAACTCTGCCCCTTGTAGCCCTGTGGCAGGAGTACCAAGTGCCTTCAAAGCTGTTGATAAGCCAGTGTGTGCCTGCACACCCGGGACAGAGCACACTGAATACACTGGTGTATAGTGGTGCACCACTACCAATTGTACTCAGGGGCACAACGAACACACCAGCTCTCTGTACCTTATTATTGCAGGTCATTCACTGACTGACACTCTAATGAACACTGACCATGCAAAGGGTAGTAATCAGTGTTAGCCCTCAGTCAGACACAGCAGTCAGCTTTAAGGGGAGCACTGAGAAGTGATGGGTGCTAGTCAGCTGAGTAACAGCAGAGTGTCTGTGAGCTGTTTACATGACAGGCCTAAGAATAGCGCAGCTTTGTAGGAAGTCACTGAAATGTCCTACAAAATGAGAATCAAAGCATTGGGTGGGGGAATCAAATCACTTCAAGAGCTGACTTATGATTAAGTATTATGGCTTATGTTACGAAGTTCTTCCATTGTACCACTCAAGTTTCTCAATGTCTGCTTGGAGAGGCTTTAGCGGAAATGTTACTAAAACACTGTTGTCAGGGTTTCTCTGTCACCAAAGAATCACGTAGTGCAGGCTTCCTGCACTACTTTAACTGCACAGGCACAGGGCTTGAGGTTTTGCTAACTTTAAAATATACTTGTGGCTACCTTGATAACCACAGACAAACAAACAACCTACCACAGCAAAGAGCCAAACTAGAAGCACTTAGATGTTGCACATACAGGAAACATGTTCAACTGGCACAATGTCTTTAGGAAGGTGAAAACAGCTACCTTCATTGCTAAAGAAACCTGTTGATCATTCCTTGTTCATCTCTTCCCTTGCTTATAATAATCTCATCCTGTGACCACACGCATTTCTCCTTTCATGCTAACCCAAATGTGAAACTTTCTGAGTTTCTTCATTCATTTCCTACCTCTTTGTCCCCTGCATCTTTGTTGTTTCCATTGAGCTCTGAGATTGTTTTTACCACTCTTGCTGTGTTGGGATGTGGAAGTGGGGTAGACACACTGTTTATTTAGCAGGGCACCACCGCTGTGGAAGTGCCTCAGAGAGCTGTTCACAGCTGCTTGCAGGAACAGAACTGCTCACAGTAGCAGTCCGTCAGAGACAGACACTTGTGATGATGTGCTGCATTCAGTGAGCTCAGTGCTATTAGCACTCTGACAATATCCCTGCAGATGGGCAAGGGCTCTGTCTGAGCTGTCTCTTTGAGTTTGCTCAGGGGCGCCGAGGGTGAGTCTTGGGCTGCGATGAGTGAAAAACCATAGACTCCCGTGGATTTAAAAGAACAATCCTGGATGCTCTAGAGCAGCTGTGTGTGCACTAATCGTGCAGCTCTCAGCTTGGCCAGGAGCCTGGGCTTAGAGAGCATTTTTTTACTTACAAAGCAGTCCAGCTGTGCTTGAAAAGCTACGGAAGAGCAGCAGAAATAGAGAAACTTTAGAAAAGCTGTGAAAAAGCTGAGTACAGAGATTGTTTCACTAACCTCCCCCTCCCCATAGGGACCAGCAGGAGTAAAGCAAAGCAAGGTAGACCTTTTTTAGTTGAACTAAAGAGCAAAAAGACAAAGAATACAAGGGAGGACCAATAAATTTCACTGCAAATCCTTCCGTGCAAGGACCATTTCTTGGTTCATTTCTGGGCACATTTTTAAAAAGGGCTGCTTGCCAAAGACTTGCAGTTCTACCGCAAGGACCCATTATTAGCATCTTCCTCCAGGGAGGAATTTATTTGCTGTTGACTGGAAGTTGCTTTGATATTTTAGCCACTCCTCTTCTGCTGTCTCCAAAATGCATGGTACACAAGAAGAATGAGATCTGGTCATTAGACAGCTCCTTCTGCACCCTGTGAACAGGCAGGACTGCACCCATAGCACTGCTATACGACTGCTGGAAAAGAATTGATTCTTATCATCTTGATCATCATTCCCCCTGTGGAATGGATCATCATTCCCCCCACAGGACTGTGTCTTCCTGTGCCTGAAATGGTTTCCCTTTCCTCCTTCAAATCCCTCCTTATGTTTCATTTTTCATGTGCTTTCCTATGATAGAGTACCCTAGGAAACTGTTTGCTCCCATCTTTGCCTTGATCTTTAGGCACGTAGAGCTGGACAGCTAAATAGAGCAAATGCCTCCCTGGGATCCAGCCTGTTCCCACGCGCTGGAATGCTGCCATGGACACCTGTGATACTTTCTAAATAATAAAACAGCCGGAGAAAATGCAGTCCCAGATCTGATTCTTGGCTGCATGTAAAACCCTATTTATTCTGGTGTGTGAAAGGGCCTTGACATGAGAATAATTACAGTTTATACCCATTTTCATATGCAGGAAACTGAAGGCAGCCATCATGGAAAAGAGACCTTTAACCCCAGTGCCCTTAGAATTACAAAAGGCATTTTGGTGTCATTAAAAATTGAAGGCCTAGAGTAAGATAGGCTTTAAAATTTATAATCTCTTTAGCTATTACAGCCACAAACAAAACTAGCCTGTAAAAACAGACTCTGTGACAGTGTTATGATGCCTGAGCTGCTCTGTAGAACAGGCTGCCCAACCATACCAAATCAGTCTCATATCTACCCCAGGGAAGTGCAGTTGCTCTAGGGTATCCTTGATTTGAGCCTTTAACTGATGGACAAGCCTCCTTAGCCCTTGGCAAGTAAATCTCATGGACTTTCTCTTCCACATTAGACAACAATGGCCTACAGGCCCACACACCCTTCAGAATCACCTGCATGTCCCCATGACCCATAAAAGGATGCTTGGCTTGGCCTAACACCTAACTTCAGATGGCTAACACTGCTGGGATAAATCCCATCTTGCTGTCTCTGACTGAGACTTCTCTTAAACTTTGCTTCCATAATCTGGATTCTTTTGGCTTTTTAGAATTTATTCCAAAAAAGACATGGCCATCTAATCAACTAGGACCACATCTGTGAATAAGTTGGCTAATGAGTGTAAATAGTTTAATTCTCATAGGAGAAAAAACATGAAATTGTGCAATTTCACAAAATGAGGCAAAGATGGCCTGGAACCCTGCCCCGTGCTTCTGAGGTACCCCAAGATACTTCAGACCATGAATAAGAGAGCAGATATAGAGAATCCCACTGATACACTCTCTTGGCATGTCACTTACTTTTACATGACAGCCACCAGAAAAAAAATACTCAGCAGATAAATACCAAGTATGAAACTTATCTGCATGTATCTCAAATCCAAACAATATAAAAATGCTGGCTTCTTCTCTGTTACCTTGATAGCATCTTACAGTGCCTTTTCCACACATGCTGTCACACAGAAAGGTTATCTGCTCCTAGGAATCATACCTTATTTTTGCCCTCTATTACAGCCGTTCTCTCAGTGATGCTCTGGATCCTGTTTCCTACGTGGCTGCCAGCTTTCAGGATGAAAGATCCTTCAGTATAAAAGCAAAATCCATGCCTAAAGACAAGAAAAGTTGAAATGTTATTGATTTGGTGGTAGAAATTGGATAGAAATTCAACACATAAGACAAAACAATTGTTTTGAAAACAGTGATCAGTCAGAAAAACTGCAGGTGCTGTGACAACCAGGAAAGTATAATTGCTTTTCATTAAATCTTGAGGTTTGGAGCCTGATAATTGGATTCACTTCCACATCCACTCCTTGAATATTAGCTCTCTGGAGTAAATGTTTACATTTAAGCCACTGCAAACTGTGAGGCCAGAATTTACAATCAGAGCCTAAACCTAGAGCTGTACAAGACCAACATCCCATTTCCAATGGTCCTGTTTTCAGACATGGCCAAAACATGAGTTCATACTATTTTTAGCCTTTAACTCAAGACAAATTATATTGGTTTCAAGATGCATTCCATAATGCATTGGATGCTCTTTTACTCTGTGCAGGTTGTTTCTGCTTTATCAAAAGATTATGCCAGTTTTAATTTCTGAATATTTCTTTAATTCAGTTTGCAAAATAGCAAGATATTAATACTGAGGCTCAATGATTACAAGACACACAGTAAAAACAAGCATAATCCTGCAAATGAACAAAATGAAGTTAAACAGAATTATACCCAAATGAAAAAGGGATTTAAATGATAATTTAACTGGAAGAAAATCAAATACATCTTAATGAATGGAAGTCCTAGAGATAAAATGTTTTTGCCTTATGCAACAAATTGGCTTGTAATCAGAACATTCAGGTGTGGTCATGGTAGAGATAATTTGTTTCTTAGAGTCTGATTTGGTACACATGGATAAACACATTGGAATGCTTCTTAAGTGTTGCCTGATCCTGTTCTTCTTTGAGAATATCTAGCTCAGTTTTTCATCCAGAATTTAGTTTTTGCTTGTTCAATTCCAGCATCACTGGCAGAGATTAACCCTTCAGCTTGATGAAGTTCTTTCAAATACACTATGTTCCTTGGATTTGAAAGATAATGGCTGTAGTATCTGTAATCAAATAGTTCTGACTTGTATAACAGTTGTTTGGAGAAATGAACTTTAAAGCTGAGTGACTGAAAAACAGAATGTGATGCAATCCTGACCAAAGAATGAGGTTCATTTCCCTTCAGTAAAACTGTGCAGTTTGCTTTGCACAGTAAACTTTGTGTTGTTTAGAGTACCAATGGTACACCAGCTTTACATGCCTGTTTTTAATTGTGCAGCTTTGCGTCAAACTGGCCAATGACTTAGCAGATATTACAGCTTAAAGAAATAACGACATGAAAACTAACTTGGGCTGCCCAAATTTCACAATGTGCACTGAAAGGATCAGTGTGTTGAAAAGACAAAAAAAAAAAAAGCCAGGAGAAGGCAATGACAATTCACGCATGGGGAGAGGACAGGGAGCAAGAGCCTGGCAGGAAAGCCCTATCTACACAATCACGTCTTTCAGACTCTGGTTTAAAAGCCAACTTCTAATCCATTATTTTTGACGCCAGGGCAAATGAAAGATAGGTGCATTAATAAGGGCGCCTGTTGCACTCAGATGAGGAAAATTGGTTAAAATTATTCAGAAAGGTAGAGGCCATTTACTTTGCACATTTAAAGCTTTAAGAAGTCTTGTTCTGTAGCAAGAATAAAACACAGAAGGCATGATAATTTGGCTAAGCTGGTAACATTTTCATGCCATAGAAGTTATCAAAACTCAATTTGTGATGCCAGACACACAAACAGGCAGTATCAAAAGTACATTTGTGACTGGATGCAATCTGTACAGGAAAACAGAGATGCCAAAATCCCACTTCATGCATATTAAAAGGTGCCTCCTAATTTATTTTTTTCTTGTCCCCACAGAATGCATTTATGTTTCTTTGTTACAGTGCTGAAATTTTGTACTCTTTACCATAGAAGTCCTTACACATATTTTGATAAAGGACAAAAAGAAGGCATAATGCATATTCAGAAGCTGCTTGTGCATCTCTGAAAAGCATCTCCAATTTCCTTTCTTACAGCTCTGGAACCTCCAGACTCAGTTGCTATTATTATACTCTTCCTCACAATTCCTTAAAAAGACTGTATATATTTAGTTTGCCATGTCTTAGGGAGGAGGACAGTGCTACGTCTTTGTTGATGCTTAGCACAATGAGATGCTGATTACTCATTAATACCAGAATGCAAACCACTATCATAACTACAATAACATCACAATAACAAGAAAAACACATGTAAAGTGCTAGATTAGCCCTGGAGGTGCATATGTGAACTCTACTGACATCACATTCCGTTCTATATCCGAACTGGCGATTACAATGTTAATGCAATTAGACTAGAAAATCGAATAGTCTTCATAGCTGTTGTCCATGGTTTTAATAAAAAAAGGAGTCACAATCAAGCTGGGAATGCTGCATCCAACAGCACACAGCTGGAGGTGTGAGTACTGTTGTACACACAACTTCGGCTCCACTGACTGCTGGATCAGCAAATGTTTATGGATCAGTTGCAGCACGGCTGCCAGAGAGAGTCCAGGACAAGACTCAGACTCATCTCTTTGGATGCAGAACCAGATGCTTCCTCTCATCAGCTGCTAAATCCCTTCACTTTAACCTCAAATGCACTAAAATAGCTCAGGGACAGCACATGAGCTGTGTCCACTGTCCTGAGCTGGCTACTCAGGTTAATATTCCGTCATCCCACCTCATTCTGCTGCAAGGGGTGCCATGTGAAAGATGCTGCCTAAGCCAACAGCATCAGGTAGAGATGGGGAAGGGAAAAATGAGTCAAAAGTCCTGCCTCTTAACTTGACCTCAGCTTCTAACAACTGGCATTTTGTAACAGAAAGAGAAAGGGTTCTGCTGAACTTAGATGTAATCATCAAACCAAATGTTTGCATTAAGCACAGATGCTTGGAAAGAAAGAGAGAAAACTGAAAACACAAAAATCCATGCTGGCTGGAACCAAAATAGGCAATCATCTTCCTGTTAACTCGATTGATGTTTCATAGAGTGTGTCCTCACATAACATCAGCTGCATGTTTTTCTGATTTCAAGGAAATTACCAATTTCTTCAAACTACCCACTCAGTAAAATAACAAGGGCATTGCATTTTTAGCAGGAACTGTCTGTGTTTGCAGGGAAATCCCACTGCATTTTAGGTATTTGAATCTTACTCCAGATATCTCTCCAGAGTACACGAATTCCTGAAATGTTTCGCTGTGGGATGAGCCTCGGTGCTTTGCATCTTCAGGAAATCTTACAGCAGGGTTACTGCTGGGTTAGTGAACGAGCACACAGTGTGCACCGGGATTGATAAGCAAGCTGATATCTGCCAGAACACTTCTATGCATTTCTTTCACCTGTGTCCCTGCAGACCCTTTCATGTTTCTGCTTTGTGGGTGCAACTCTGCCTGTGTAAGATCCCACGTAAGAAATACTAACAGGGGTGTGTGTACAAACATACGTTTGTAGAAGTTACACAATTTCAAAGTGAGGTAATCAGACTCTGCTGCCTTGGTGGAGGGCTGGTAGAAGCCGAGCACTCGGGTTAATAACACCCCAAGTAGTTTTTCCCATATGCTTGCATGCGTGCTGGCATGCACATTTGCAGGTGTGCACCCGCACAGGCACGCATTGGCCTTTGTGTCAAGAGCCTGAGAAAAAGGCTATCCTTTTGTAAAAACAGGAGCCACTAATTCTCTGTAAGGTTTTCAGAGAAGCCCAGCACTGGGGGAAAGAGGGGTGAGAGTGGCTCTGCCTGTGGCAGGGTGAGACCTGCTCATCACCCAGAGCTTCGGGAATTTACATGGATTTGGAGAGGCTGTGGGGTAGGTTATGCAACCAGAGGTAAGTCCAGTTTTATAAAGGGTCTGTGATGTGTGGAGTTGGCACCCGTGGGGGCCCTGGAGAAATGGCTGGGGGGAGGGGAGCCAGCCTGCTACTCGAGAATACATCAAGCCCTTGAGGAAGCAGAGTGTGCCATGTTTGAAGATGCAAAGATAATCACAGTGCTGGGAACCGTCTTGTGTAGCGGAGGAAGCCAAACAACAAGAGGAAAGCAGCATATGCTCGTGATTTCGCACAGGAAGCTAGCAGCACCTCCTGCCAAAGCGAGATAAGAAAACTCCCATGGCCTATTCTGGACAGGGCTGTGGTGATCAGCCTTCGCTCCACACTGTCCTCGCTCCGCTCCGCAGCCCGTTCCCTTTCCTAATGAGTTTCAGAGCCCTCACTTCTATTAGCATGCAGCATGCCAAGCACAATAGCATGGTGTATTTATAACTATCAACAGGGAAAAGTTTCCAGGGTAAGAGTGTACTTCATGTCATCTTGATGTATTTCACTGAAATCACACTGCAAACCAGCTCCAAGCTGAAGTCCTGCAGATGAAACTATTGGTCTCAGAAGAAAAGCTGCTCGGAGTTTATAGCAGAGCATGGGAGCTGAGGTAAAAAATTTGTCCAGTTACTCATAGGATGGTTTGACCTCATGTATGACAGTCAGTTCTGATTGAAAGCCCCAGGTCTAGCCCATCCAGACACATCTTCCCTGTGCCAAAGACAGTACTGCAGTTTTCAGTTCAAGCAGTGCAACAACAAATACCAGTGAAAGAGCCTCAATCCACAGATCAGTTGGAAAAATACTCATCTTCTGTCTCCTTGTCTTCCCAGCTTCTCCCTCCCAAGCCCTCCTGTGTGATTCCAGAGGCCTTGTGTAACTTGAATTGCAGTTACTTGCAACAACATTCAACTCTGAAAGTAAGCATTCCTCTTGGCAAAGCCCCTGGCAGCCTCACTCACACTCTCATTCACTGGGGTAGATTTGTTGGGAGGGAGAGGAAACCATCCTGTCACCAACAGTGCCCATTTTTTAGAGTGATTATTGGCAGCCAACATACTTTTCTCAGCAGCTATCGTTTTTATAGGGCAGCAATTCCTAACAGCGTGAGGGCAATGTTACTACAAATTCAGGTTGGGCTGACTCATGTCTTTTAAGAGGCAATGGCAATGACACTAACATT